TATATATATATATATATATATATATATATATATATATATATATATATATATATATATATATATATATATATATATATATATATATATAAAATTTCCCTGTTGCATCGCAGTTACATGACAAAGCTGCTGGTGCTCGATGCTTTGACCAGTCAAGCCTCTCCACTCGGTGCAGAGTTTTGTTTTAGTGGTTATGCTGCCCCCATGTCTTGCTTGCTTTCCGGCTCGCAGCGTCACCACCTCTGATACTCTGATATGCTCCCTGCAAATTCAATTTTTTTTTGCTTGCACCCCTAGTGACACACACAATGTGCTGAATGCCTGTCAAAACTTTCCCAAGCATCTATACCTGCAGTTTTTTTTTTTTCTTGAGGTCCTGAGTTGAAAAGTGATTCATCAGGGTTCTGTATATATTCTTTTTAAGAATATATTTAAAAATTTAAATTTAAAAACTGCTAGTTTTTTGAATTATTGGCGTAAACTGTCTATTTTAATTTGCCATGTTTTCCATCAATAGTTTGTTTTTTATATAGAAGAAATTTATCTGAAGACTATATCTACTATTACTATTCAATCTGCTAGTAGTACATTTGTATATTAGTAGTGCATTTTATTTACATGAAGTTGTTTGTCCATATGTGTGTCTGCACAAATATTTTGGCTGTACAGTCTTTTAAATGGCCTTTACTCAAAATTCCTGTTATAGCTGTGAGTGCTGAAGGGAAATATCTGAGGTAAAATTTCAAGTACATTAAACAGCACCATTTTCATGCTCGTTCAGCACTATGGCTGTGATTCTCCTTGGCCTGAAACAGGGATGCAGAGGCTGTGAACTTTCTGATGCAGAGAGCGTGACAGGTAAAGGATCAAATCCATGTTGAATTTATATGGAAGATGCTGAGTGTTTCCAAACTTACAGATTATGTTATAGTTTTGTTTTTTCTTAATTGTTTTGTGCATTGTCTTGCAATAAGAATATTATGCTGAGGTATCTCCTGGTTACAGATGACCAGGTGTTACAGTTAGAGACCTTACACCATAATGTGTCGATGTTTACAGATGTGGGATGCAGTTGGTGAGCGAAAAAAGCTGCAGGTGATTTACAGGGATTCGGTGCCTCTCTATTGATCAGTATGTTATATTGATGCCCTTGTGAGGAAGCAGAGTAACTTCTAACAGAAATAGACCTGGTGTAACTCAAAAGATGAATGACCTAGAAGATCCAGGTGAAGAAGTTTGACAGATGTGAAAAATATATTTAACTGTGGCCCTCGTTTCTATTTTACAAGTCGTTTCTGCCATTGAATTTATTCCTGTAATGAAATATTGCATTTCTATTTCCAACTTTATTATCTTTCAACGGTAATGATGTAACATCATAGTCATATATCAAAAAAAAAAAAAATGTTTTTGAGGGAATGCCTTTAGGCTATTTGGTAAGCAGCCGGTACGCTGTGTTGGTTGTATTTCGTACGAACACAACACGAGGGTATAGCTTCTCTGTAAGTGTGACATTTTCGCAGTATTAATTTGTTTAGGATATAATGTTGTTATTGCGCCTGGTGGTTTTGAGCACGTAGGCGGCGATGTCTTCGCTGGCTTTTAACTTAAACAAGCTAAGATCGTTGCAGCAGAATGAGTATTTGTATTATTGCTTTTACTATTAATATTATTATTATTTTCCCCATTCGGTCATGTTTCCTGGACGCGTGCGGGGAATCCTCTTTACTGTGAAAGGCTCTTATTGGATTACTGCTATCATCTGAGGCCCTATTTTATTTATTTTTTTAACACCCCCCCCCCCTCCCCATTCCTTTCATGTGTCACCAACAAGCTTCTCATTTCAATATTATGGCTGCCATGTGTTTTGCTGCACTGCAGACTGTATTTATACATTTTTAATGAAAGAACCAGGAATGGTGGGGGGGTGAAATCATTGGACGTTTATTGCACGGATGGGACTGGCGTTCAGTTGTGGGATGGCTTGTCAACTGTTATAACAGGAATGTAATAAAACCTCAGTTTGCATTTGCTGAGGGGTAACTGACGCCGGAGCTCTGATCTTAGGATGTCCGCTTCTTTCTGTTTTTTTTTCCCAGGTTCTGGATGAAGAGCGGTGATGTGAATGCGATACGCCGAGGGAGCGATAATCCACAGATTTCTGCTTATTTATTTATTTCCAAGATCCGCCGCCTCCTCGCGCGCCCTACGATGGCAGTAGTCCTGGGCAGCGTCTAGCGGTCGGACTGTCACGCGGCATCTCCACAGCTGCCGCCGGACGTCTGCGAGCGGGCAGAAGTCGGCGCGTGCGGGCACTTGTGACGGGAGTGGAGGGGGTGGGAGGAAAGAAGAAGAGGGGGAGTTTATTTTTTTCCTTCCTTTCCCTCGGACCGAACGAGCAAACAAGCACTCGGCAGCCCCGCGCTCGCCGTGGATGGACTGGAGGCGGGCTGAGAACGCAGAGCGGATCGGCAGCCTTTGAAGGCGCAGCGCTGTATTAATGCCGCTTTCCGCTGCCCGGATCGTCTCATCTTCAGGTGCACAGCGGCCCCTTCTTCCTCACTAATTCGGCGAGCGGCAGCACAGGCGGTATGGGAGTCCTAATTTGCTACGCGGTTATTCTCGCTCTCGTCTGTCAGAGCCGCAGCCTGGCTGTCAGAAATCCACTTTACCGGATTAAAAGGTAGGACGCCACACGTCGTTTTTAAATGCTAATGAAGTGCCTCGCAGATGGAAGGTTTTGTTTGTCTGAAATGCATACAGGAGCTTTTGAAGGTTTTTGCCCTTTTGGATCCGCTCCTGTTTTGTCAGGATTTGGTTCAAGAGCTACTTTTTGAATAAAGTTTCTATCAGGTTAAAACTAATGGATATAATTGAACGACAGCTGCAATTTATGTTGAACTATTCAATATTGTTTGTAAATACATGTAATAATTAAAGTGCCTTGTTTTTTTAACCTTTGTTTTTACCTTATTGAAAGATGTAGAAACAGTTCAGGCTATCTCTTGAAAAAAATTTCATTTCCTACATTCCTACATATTCCATATTTTTTTTGTTATATAAATATGAAAAATTCTTGATGTTGAAATTAGATATGTAATTCTTAGAGCTGAGACTTTTATCCATTCAGATTTTTTGGCCGTTTAAAATAAATGTTGTGTTTGTTTTAATGATAATGGCTAAACATTATTTTGTAATGTTTAAAAAAAAATGTTGTCAGTTGATTTTACATATTTAACTAAAGCAATCGAGATGCACTGTAAGCTTGGGGTCGGGCAATGGCTGACATTTTCAGCTTCTCATCTTGCTTCTCCGTACGTCGTGCAGGTATCAGGAAAATGAGAGGGCTGGTGTTAATGACTGCCCCAGGACCTGGCAACCCGTCACACAGCCCAATGCCTACAATTACTCAATGGATATCCGCATGCCCGGTGTCATTCCAGCTGTGGTGAGTCCCTCCGAAACCCATCCAGCAGCGGAGGGTGGGCAGGTGGGCGGGCGGATGTGTAACACGCACATTTAACCTTTATTTAAATACTCTGCCTTAATTAATGCCGGATACAGAAACGTGGGAAATGACTTAGGAAAACATGCAACGTAAATGCGTGCAGGATTAGGTAGCTAATTAATTCAGTGCTCATTTTAAACATTCCTGTTGCATATATTAAACTTCCCAGAACATGCATATGTCATTTTATTCACAAGGAGGCATTTACTGTTTAAGCACTCACTGTAGTTTCTGAAATCATGTCGGGCGGTATAAGGAGAGTCTTACAGGAATCATCATGTCGTTGAGCGTTGCATTGTTTCCTGGCAGCATTTGTTAGGGCGAGGATGTCTATGTCCATCTCGCTGTGTCAGTACAGATTGATTGTTTTATAATTTGATCATTAGGAAGGGCATGACTCATTGTTACCGATAGATCTAATTGTTTCTATGGCTCAGCAAGCATAGATCTCCAAAGAGGATTTTCTGCTGCCAGAGAAAACAGTAGCTGGCCACCCTGAAAGGAGTAGAGAGAGATAAGAGGGCCTGGACATGTTACATAAATTAAGATCCAGCCTGTGAATCTGTGATGGTCACGGTTTATGAAAGTTGTTAGGAGCAGTTCAAGAAGGGCGAGTTGTTGTTATTCTCCATGCAGGTCTATGAGTCATCTGCCAGTGATTCATCGCAGTCCTTCACTGATAACTTTGCTAAATGGATTACACAGTCATAACATCACCAAAATACAAGATTTGAGCTTTACCGACCAGCTTAAGTAATACTGTGTTGTTGCACCCTAGGAAAATACCCTTCACCTCAGCCCTACAGTATGTCGTAATTAATGTTTTTTTCTCACCGATCTGTTGACTCATTTGGATGTGGTGTAATTTTTAAGCTTTTGATATACCCAAGAAGAATGGACTATTTGTCAATGATTTGTGTAATTTTTCTCAAATCTCTAATAGGATTGTTTTTATTAATTTACCTGCATGTGAAAGATTAGGTATAGGACTGTATGTTGAAGAAATGTTGCATGAGGATTGGAGTTTGATTGTGTGGTGTTGGTAGTCTGGTCACTGCAAGACCCCTGAGTAATGGGCACAAAATGGTAGCCAATCTGAATCTTCAGCACTCATCCTAGACACTATAATGGACGATGGACGAAAATAATATTAAAATTTGGTATTTAAAATTCAGATCATCTTGGCAATGTTCAGTTTGTACATGTTACATTATGCAGTTCTGGTATTTTAAGAACTTGGTGATGGTTTGATAAATTTGATACAATTTCATTAAATTTAAGGATTGCAAGTAAATCCTCTAAAATATTTTACGACATAGTTGATGTACTAGTAATAATGATGATATTACATACTTCATATTAACTTTAAGATGTCTGTCTACATTGCATTTCATTTGCAAGCCCTTGCCAGTTCATTGTTAACAACCTAATGCCGCTGTTACTTAATAGATATCTAACTATAGTTCCCCAGTTGGATGCCATGATTGTAATGGAAAATTTAGACCAGTCAGATTGATCATGTTCATAACCACTACATGGCAACTGAAAGCCCTCAGCCATTGCTAAATGATTTCTTGTCATGTTTCTTAGAAGTGTACTCCGTTATGGCTGCCAAAATAGGAGTTGACTCCTTGTTTTGAAGACGGATCCAGACACATTGCAGTGAATGTCAAATCTGTGAATTTACTCACCAGACCTACATTGTGTGTTTCTTCAGAGTTTGTCAAAGAACGTCATTGTAAGAAGGCGATCCCTGACCAGACAAAGCTTACAGTGAATCCTTCATGACATTAATGTGGTCACATTTGTCAGTGTTTCCCACAAAAAAAACACCTTCATTATCGTGCAATTTTGCCTTATGACTTGTCCCTCTGGGTTTTGTAATGACAAGAGCGGTTGAGAAGCCGTGCCTCCAGACGTCACATCTGCTGAACGTGCAGACAAGCTCGTTAAGGAGCCTTTGTGTTGTCCTTACGGAAGCAGTATATACTTTGACTTGTGACAGCCCATAGGTAGCTACAAATGTGGAACAAACACGGCAGTAAAAGAAAAGAAAGTAAATGTAACACTCCAGGTCAGTGGCCTCCTGCAGTGCCTCGCCTATGCTCAGTGGAGAGGTTGAAAAGATAAACTCACATGCCCACTTACTGCTAACTGTCCCTGTGAAATATGAGCACGAGAGTTTAATGGTGCGTTTGTGTTTTCACAGTCCGAGGCCTACTTGTGCGTGGCCGTTCAGGTGCCCAGAGAGAGGGAGTCCTACATAGGTGAGTAGCCGTGATAACCATAATGTTTGTTTGTCAATGTGGGGATGAGTGTGTGAGCTGCTCAGCAGGGTAGCTTGAGGCCTGTCGATGTCTGCAAGCCTCAGCATAAGGCTCGATAGAGCCTATCAGCAATTATAATTCCTAGCATACGGCTTCAGTGAGCCTGCCAGTATCTATACACTTTGGAGTTGAAATGATGGCCATTAATAAAGCGTTCCAAGAATGCGTTGCGATTCTGAAATGCCAAACTATTTCTTGGTGTCAGTGTCCATTTGGATTTGGATTTGCATCATCCGAAGACTACAACTGTAGGCATCAACTATCATACAATGATTCTGGCCAAGTTCTCCATTTTGTTTTAGAGATTTTTGTAGCTGTGGATGGAAGGACTTTAGCTAATGGGGGGAAAAAAAATAAGCCAGCGATCTTTAGTTCAACATGGGTGCAAAAATTGGTCCATCTCCCTTTTCTGAAACTTTGTCCAAGCCACCACCCATCACTGGTCGCGTGAAGGAGACAATTGTCAGATGTCATTTCAGGTTGTGAGATGAGGCGAGATTCTCCCATTCACTTCCCTGTAAGCTTCTACTAAAACAGCACCTGAAACTACTTCCTTCAATGAGTTGTATGAAAATAAATTCCTCAGAGGTGTTTATTTGCAAATGTTTAAAGAGGAGACGGTGCTGCTCCTCTATCAAAGCATTTGCGACTCGGCGGCGTGGAATAGCTAATAAAAATATGCGAATCCCCAAAGATAAGAGGAATATTTCTGTTGCCTTCTCTGCTTGTCATCATTTGGATTAGAAAACATAGTGCAGCACATAGCCTTGTAATCCACCCAGCAAACACAGCCAACATGGTTAAACAGCACCGGTGTATTAGTTAGCAATCGGCACAAATACACATATGGCACTTTGTACAGAGATTCCCCCAATCTTGTTAGCCTACTGAAATAGCTAAATAGAAAAGCAAACAATCCTCTTTGGCCCACAGCAAAAGGCAATTTGTTTCAGAGAAAATTAGTACTTTTAGTTTTTAAACATGTATATTTTCATTTAACTGTACTGTTACTGCTCTGACTCTGAAAGTGGTAGGAAAATGGATGACTGCTCATATGGATGGATGGATGAATGTCCTGTTGCCATTTCTTGCTCGCATGATGTAGTCGATGTGGAATTCTTTATTTGTTTTTTATTACTGTTTATTCATATCCGTGCTCAGCGTTCCACTAGCATGCCTGTGCGGAAGTGTGCACCGGGGAGCCTCTGCGTGTTCCCCGCATTTGTTCGTCAGAGTGGGCGCCATCTGTCACGCCCGGCTCCCTGACATCCGCTGCGGGGATGCCATCCAGCACCGGCAGCCGCCGCAGCCGTCTGCCTGTCTTCTGCCCGCTGGCGTCACGGCCGGCAGGGCTGCACCTGCTCTGCCAGAGTTGCCCCCTGGCCTCGGCGATTTTGAGCAGAGATGGATGATATTTATCGCTCAGAGTTTTATTAACGAGGTGTATCATTAACCTTATCAGTGTTATCATTAGTATCAGTGATAACAACGATATATTCAGGATAATTTTAGCAGTCTAAGTAGGTCTTAAAAAAAAATGAAATCCAGGAATGTTTTACATGTCCAAGGTAATTATTTTGTGAGCGCATTGGGGATATGGCAAATAGCACATTGAAAGGTACTGTTATTCCTGGGCTAAAGGCACATTTTGATCAGTTCTGTAAATTACTTACTCTGGGGATGATTTCGGTTAAGCCGACGTAGGTGTTTGATTTGTTTTCAGCTTTAATTAATTATTCAAAGTCCCCTCGCAGCCTTTACATAACGAGGCGAAGCGTGTACATACAAGCACGTATTGTTTATGCACCTTTAGCTGAATAAACACTACCTGTGTTTCATCTCTGTGGCACGGAAAGGCTTTTCTCATGGGCGGGTCGTCGGCTTTGAGCAAGTAACTTTTTGCTTGTCACCTGCAATGGGGGCCCCTAATTTGCCGCTGCTCAGAAATACTCGACGGTAGCTAGCGATGGGCTAAATCGCTCTGTAATTGAGCTGCGAAGGTCTTTTGATCACGCCGCAGGATTATAGATGTTACTGCACTGACTCATTCGGTTAAAGGAGAGTCGCATCCACTGTGGGGATGAAACGAGTTATTGATGTTGCCTGAAGGACGGAACTGAGCTGCCTCAGGACCACGGGGTCCTCTCACTGGAGTGTCTCATGCCCTAACGACTCTTGTGTTCGACTCTGATACGCAAGCTCTGCCTTGCTATAATTAATGCCCTGTTATGTGTTGTAGCGCAGGAGGATCTCTGGTGAGTTCGCTTTTCTTGAGCAAAACGTTTTCCAGGCCTGGCCCAGTATGGATGAGCTGCATTCGCAAGGACACCTGGGAGCGGAAGTGGTGCAGGCCTCCCCCCGTGTACACATCTTACTCAGTCTGGTGATGCATATGGAGCCGCCCCCCCCCCCCACCACCGCTGTCCCTGCCAGACTCAGGAAGCCACCTGCATTATTCATTTTTCCCATTAGATATTCTGGGAACGAGCACACGGCCCTGTAGGTGCCGATCACTTTGATATGGAAATGCCATCGACTGTCGACGGCACCCCTTGCCGGATTCAGAGATGCGCTGAAAACCCGCGGTGCCCATTTTCCTGGTCAGACAAATCTGTGCGCTTTGGCTTGTGTGCGAGCCCAGCTCCTTTGCTGTTGTGGGTCGTGGGGGATTCCAGTGTGGCTGACCTGGCTCCTTTCTTACTATGGGCTGTGCGCGCTGTCACTCTGGCTTAGCTGCTAATTGCTTCATTGAAGTCATCATTTGGATAGTGAATTAGGTTTTAATTAAAATGTATTCTCTGAAACTTGCATCACTGCAGCTCTGGGGGACCTGTGTTGCACCCTCATGGAAAATATGTTGAATGCGTGCGTGTGTTCTTTGTGAGGTGATGTCAAATATTTATCTGGCTTCCTGCACGTTATCTTCATGTATCAGTGAGCAGAGTTGGTTTGAATAAGCTTTCTGTACCCCCCCCCCCCCCCCCCCCGATCTCCCTAGTGGACTTTGTGCCACACGCCAGCATGGACACCACACACCACATGCTCCTGTACGGCTGCAGCGCCCCCTCATCCTCCGACTCGTACTGGTAGGTCAACAAGTGGAGCACCGATCTGCCATCCTGCGATGTATCGTCGTTCTGTGAATGTATGCTAATCTACGTGTACGCATCAACTCAATTCCATTCTATATGTTTTGACCCGCTTACTATCTTCAAACACCTTTCTCTAAATTATCAATCTTTTTTTGTCTAAACTTCTTTTCCTCGAGTTTTTTTTTTTTTTAACCAAACATACTGCATTATTTCTGAATTGCATTCTACCAAGACATAGGATTTCAGACTTCTGTTTTAAGCATATTCTGAAACATATTCAAATAATTAATCAAATGAAAATTCAATTTCAGTCGAGCAGTGTTTCTTTTGAAGTCAGATTTAGCAATTTAATTGGTGTGTTTTTTGCGCTGAGGAGTACTGTGGCCGTCATTTGTGTTATTAAGCTGGCTAATTCACTGGATGACTGTTTTCTGTCAAGCCCAGAAAGAGCTTCCATCATACGTTCAGTAATAAACTTGCCTGTTACTATAGCAACTGCTGCCACCTAGACAACGGGGATTCACAAAGCTGACCCCTGGGATCTTTTTTTTCCCTCCACATTCTTCTCCTCGGGCTTTGTGATGAAGTAGACAAAGACGGTTTGACTAGTCACATTGTTTGAGCCCTGGGTGTGCTTCATTCTTTAAGGGCCTGTTACCACTTCAGTCCTGCTCCATTTTAGTGTGAAGATCAGGTATCACAGAGGCATTTCATATTTATAAAATAGTTCTAGTGTTAGCACTTTAGCTAATTGTACTCCACAAAAGAAATGCACACACTGCACCCATGCACATACACATAATGATATGAAGTCTTATTTGTAATCTGGGAAATCCTTAGGATTCCATACCATTTAAACACAGCTGCTGACTGGCACATCTGTTATTAAAACAGTTTGCTGTTTGGTTTCTGTCCCATAGATTTTTAAGGACACTAGCCATTCAGCACGCTGTCATGTTAACTGTGCCAGGCCAAATTCTCTGTGTATCTGACCCAACAAAAAAATGTTTGAATGCTGCTCAGAATTTTTAAAATTTCAATTATTTTTAAGTCTAAAAACGTTGAAAATATAGAAGCTCTTGAGGTTTAATTGAAAGGAGGTGTGAAAGTAGGCCAGGTCGTGTATCTACCATTCAGGAGGGTCCTGAAAATAACAAGAATGGATATCAAAAAGAACACCAGAATTTTGTGTTGCAGTTTCTGTGTGTTGTTTACTTGGGCTCGCGGTTTATTGTGCTTTAATTTATTCTCAAGTGCCGAGTGTTACTGGATACATGGGGTACAAATTGAAAGCACTGATTATTAATCCTCGACGCAGAGGTGTCAGGAAGCCCCTGTTCAGTTTGGCGAGGCTGCATGTTGTGCTGAGGAATGAGTCCCTGCATGGAGGATGAATGGTGTTAGAATCAGCCAAGAGCCGTGGAAGATGGTAAATCGTTTTTGGGGGCCGCGCCGCTTTTTGGCCGCCCTGAATGATTTAGATCTGCGGGAAGGAGCTTTCTGCTGACCGCGCTGTTTATTATAATGCATCAGTTATTGTTACCAGGCCTAGCACACTTTATTATCTTGATGTGATTGTTAGTGTCTCTCTTGTATGGAAATGAGTGCGAACAGCTCAGTATCCCATGCTTCCTCTTTTTCTCTGCCCTATCAGGGACTGTGGGACAGAGCAGGGGCCTTGTGTTCACGACCCCAAGATCATCTACGCCTGGGCACGGAATGCCCCGCCCACCAGGTTGCCCAAAGGTAGCTTCTCCTTCAGGGTGGGGCCTTTGGAGAATTGCAGGGAGGGGGGTGTCGTTCATGTTTCGGTGCTTATGAATTGTGCTGCTGTGTCCTGCTGCTAGTGGAGGGACCCCCTTTGGCGTTTTAATGAAGTCCTCCCCAATCTCATTTCCGTAGACGTCGGCTTTAAAGTCGGAGGAGACACGACAATTACTCACTTCGTGCTGCAGATGCACTATGGGGATGTCAGTGCTTTCAGAGGTGAGCTTTTAACATAAGAAAAACCATTCATGAGTTTGAAATTGCTGCCAGTGTCCGGCTGTAATGATTTGTATAGAATGTACGTTGCAGAGAAATAAAAGGCACGGGTCGTTATTTCTGAAACTTTGCAGGTTTGTGACCTTTGGAGCCCCTTTTGTTGGTAATTAAGGAGCTTGTATGATTCATTAGGATTTATTTGAGTAATTACTAGTGTATGCAGGCAGGGTCTCGCCTCGTCCAGTAGTGGGCGCTCTGAGCCCACCTAGCTCAGGCGTCGATGGGCCATACGTGGGAACAGAAATGCGCAGGAGCAGGTGCCCAACTCCCCAGCTGAAATCCCTCAGCCACCGTTCCATTTCAGCGACTGACTTAAGGAGCGGCCCAGCCAGTGTTATTCACGGCACGTGCGGAGGGCGCCCCCATGGGGCCGCTGAGCGTGCCATCGGCGGGGCAGCTGAACTGTGGCCCCGAGAAGAGGCGGTGGGGTGTTAGCCCATGTTTTGGGAGAAAGTGAAGAGGAATGCAGGTGGGGCCGGTCGACCCCTTTGGATGACACAGGCCGCTGCCTAGGATGCCATCTTTTGAGGGGGTGTCGACTCCTTTCGATACCAGCTGCCCCCTTTGGCGTTAATTCAAGAACCCTAAAATATACCAGGTCTGCCTGGTGCTCAGCTCCTGCTAATTAAGCGGAATCAGACTGATTTATGGGACGGCCTGAGTGCTGGTGTGGGATGCTTTATGACCAGGTAACCGCGTGAGAAATGTGATATATGATGGGAATAATGAACGTTTGGGGTGGCAAGGCGGCTCAATGGGTATCACTGCTGCCCCATGCCTCCAGCGTTGGCGTTTTGAGTTCCGCCATCGCTCTGCTCTGTGCGTGTGGAGTTTGCATGTTCTTCACATGTTGGCCGGGTTTCCTCACGCAGTCCAAAGACTGCAGTTGGCTAATTGGTGTCATACGTGATTGAATGTATGTGCCCTGCGATGGACTGACATGCCAGCCTTGTGCCTTATGTTGCCTGGGATAAGCACCAAGCCCCTCGTGACCTTTGCCAGGACGTATGTAAAAGATTTATGCATATCAAGTTTATTATAGTATGTCTAAAATAATAACAGCACTAAGCTGTAATGAGCCAAACGTGTTGAAGGGCGCCGCAGTAAAAAATTAATGAAAAAACCTGCTTTATTTAAATTCTTAAATCATACTTGATACCGTGTACAGCACTGCACTCGATTAACTGGGCAATCTTTGGTGTCGCGTTTATAAATTATGGGTAATAGCCCTTCCAGTAAATGCACTTACTGTCGGGAAGACCGGGGCGGGGGGGATATTTTTTCGCCTCCCTGTGCAAGCTTGGTTATTTCAAAGAATTTTTATATCTGCAAGATTTAGATCTGTACATCTGGGTTATCACACCTACCCAAATTCACTCTGAAGGGTACGTGGTACTGTCACTGGCAGTCTAAATAACGAACTTGATTTTCATTGATTTTCTTTACCCATGTGAATATCTTTGACATCTTAAGTCTTTTGCAAAGGTTAGCTCATTGTACATAAATGAAAACCATCATCTAATTTTGCGCAACTCTGCAACAATCCTTTCAGACGGCCATAGAGACTGCTCGGGTGTGACCTTGAAAATGACTTCCAAACCGTAAGTATCTGGCAAATGTTCGCTTCCTTTCATGTTTGTCTTAGGAAATGTAAAATATTCAAAGGAAATGTTGCCCATGTGCTTCTAAAGGTTCTGGAACATTATATGTTTTGTATTAATGGTTAAATGGGTTAAGCAAACACAATTCCCATGTGGCCTTGAATGATATTAAGACCTTTATGCCCAGTAGCAACATTTGTTTTACCTTCAGAGAGGAACCTGTGACTTCCTGTTCCGAAGTAACAGTTATGATGTAATTTTGAATTTGCAGTCAATACTCGGCAGCGTTTCGGTGTGCTGGTTGGCCTTCTGACCAGAACACTGGAGATTCAAATGCACGGATACTCTGACTTGTTACAACACAGTGGAGTGCAGGCTGTCGGTTAAAACGAATAGAAAATAGAATTGATTATCTACACATGACAGCCTAGCAATCAGGTAGAAACTTTGCAGCCCACTACTTGCGTTATTTAATAGGACATTTCTGGAAAAGACCCAGTGTATTCTGGACAGTGTTAGGCGTAATCCTGCCCAAACATGAAGGTAGATTTTGTCATCTTTTTTAATGTGTATAAGTATAGATCATGAACATGATTAATCCAAGATGCCCTACATCTTTTCCTCGACAACACATCAAGTATAGAGTGATTTCCTGAGGTACAGTATGTAATGATGCCATCTTTAATAGCCTTATTGTGACAGCAATCGCAACATCAAAATCGCCGACATAGGATAGGATCTGCTTCAGAATGATAAGACGGGTATGGCTGCAACACCTCGATATACTAATGTCTGTCATTTTAGACATGTTGAGAAGTAGATATGTTGAAAGCTATACTCCCAAGCTGAAATTTTGATCAGCACTGCTTAAAGCATTATGACCCGTTTCCTCTTAGTATTGTTTGCAAAGATATAGCTGCTCAGTGAAAATAAATGGCTATTAAATATTGGGAAGGAGAGTGAGTGCAGTTTGATGCAATAAACATCTAGCTATGTGCACCTAAACCTTTAGCATCCCTGTTGGGAGTAGCTGGGAATAGCTAAGGAAAAAACATCATAAAAAAAGCATCAGTCACTGTTTTGTTTGTCTTTAAACAGATGATTTTATATTATTTGCCTCTTGCTTCATTCTGACTTTCCAGCATCGCAGGTTAACGACAGATTACTCTGTTTTTGTAATGGATGACCAGAGTCTTTTGCGTTTCACAGTCTCTTTGTATATCATGAGTGATTGCCTCTGTATTGCTTATCTCACTCTTGTATTTAATTGGGTTTTAAATTCTGACTAGCAGTGGTATTCTCAGTGAGGCTTTAATCAAGTCCCACCTACAACAGTAGACCAGCAAAAAATGCACAAACGATTTTGATGCATATTTCGTCCCATTTCAGTGTTTAAACAAAGGTGTGGTATCTATGCATGAAATGGAGTGGTGATTCATTGACATTTAATGTTTCAGATTTAAACATTAAGCAGATGTGGGCCCACAGGAAATAACTCATTTCCAACCCATTTTTAACTTCTAGGAAGTTTTATCGCTGTTTGATTAACTTGTCTGTGGGTGGAATCTCTTTAGTTTTTGTGAGTAATGCAGCTGCTAAATAGCAGTATGCTATGCTTAGTTGGTGGGTGGAGAAGTCATCCTAGTTTTAATGGTGATAAAACAAGACAAAACTGGAAATTCTATGGAGCTGACCTTCTTACATTTTTATTTTTTATTTTTTTAGCAGATGCTTTTCTCTAAAGTGACATATGAGAATAATAAGCATCTCAAGAGCCAACTACCCATAATGCAGCTCTGTTGAACTTCTAATGAGTGACCAAGTGCAGTTTAGCATTGGGTCAATTATAGTACTCTAAACATTACAAGAACCGAACAGGAAAAATGTTCAAATCAAAATGCCAGGAGACTAGGTTCCAACTAGAGAAATGAAATATACCGAGAGTCACAAACACTTGTTGCAGAATGCTCACATTCGGTTGATTCTCTGTATCTTCAAATTGGGTACAAATGCATTTTTCAGGAAAAGGTAGTCATCTTGAAGGTCAGTGTGATGAGAGATCAGCAGTGTGAAAAGGAACCAGAAAGGCATTCATCACCTGAATGGGGGGGGGGGGGTGCCACCTTATATTTGATCTCAGGGTCAATATGCAATAATGGCTTCAAGGATTTCTTTTTTTTGCCGGTTTGTACAACTTTTGTATGGAAAGCTATGTGATGTGAAAGTTTTATATGGAAAAAAAAAAACATCCTTGGGCAAGAGGCAGACGTTTCCTTTCACTAATGACTCATCAGCATGATCACTAAAACGCACAGCTTCCACTAAGTAGTCGGGATGGAGATTAATCCATCCGCCATGTCGCTATCGATGGGCCTGCAGTTATTGACGTGCATTTTTCCCTAATGACATAGCCGATTCAGCAGTCCAGTAGCTCACTGGTGCACAGCACAGGACAGCACATAAATAAATAAACGGCAGATTAAATCCCTCTTTGCTTTTGGAGAATGGACCCACCCTGGGGCAAGCTGGCCTTTGTTGCCGTCGTCGTTAGGGATGTTACCACTCGTGTCGGCGTCCTTGTTTGTTCCACTGAATCGAACAAGCTGTCAGGCCTTGGAGCTGCCATCGTGCCCATGTGACTTTTCTGTCACGCGCTCACAGACGACTGCCTGTCCTCTTCATCCGCAGGCAGCCCTTCATTGCTGGCATATACCTCATGATGTCTATGAACACAAAGATCCCACCAGGGAAAAAAGGTGAGCGGCCAGACCTCACTTCAGGCCCCGGGGGACACAAGGGAGAATGGAAAGTGCCGGAAGTGAAGATGATGCAGATGGGTCCGGTCTGGATTTGGAGTTCAGGCTCGAGGGCTGAATTTCATTACACCTTCATTTGTGTCTTTGGAATGGCCGTGACGTCAATGCCAGTGACGAGCCTATTTCACCACTGTTTTGTTTTCACTTGTATTAATGTGTTTAGTGCATTCTACTAATCCACACATATTCCATGGTGACACTACCTTTGTTTTACTGTATAACAGGCATATCAGTTCAGCCTGTTTGGCATTAAGTGGGTAATTACACACAAGCAGACATTTCTGCGCAGATAGAAGTAGGGGACAGAAATGAAAATGTCCCAGCAATTACAGTTATTAAATTAAGTTACAGTGAAGTAATATTGCAGGCCCAGTCTCAGGTGTCTGTTTTCCTCAGGGATTTAGCTAAACCCTTTAAATGGTCATAGCTATAATGCAGCAGTGGAATCTATTTTCTCATTTAGGCGTTATCACAATAAGAGGATGAAAAGGTTTTTGTTTGGTCTCGACTTCGTGGGGTGAGCTTCGATGGCCCTCGCCTTTTCGTTTTGGAGCTTAACCAGACAGCTTACTTACTACTCCTCTGACTGACTCCATGTTGAGATTTATCGTTTTCCTGCATTTGCCTGAGAAATGGCTTCTTTCGATGATCCATTGCGTGCAAAAGTTGATCAAACTATTGATTTGAGAACTTTGAGCGCTGCTCCCCCCCCCCCNCCCCCCCAGGCAACGTTCAGTCCCTTTTCTTTGTTTGCAGTGACGAATGCTGACATCGCCTGCCCCTACAGATCATATCCCATGTACCCGTTTGCCTTCAGGACACATACGCATCGATTAGGTGAGAGTGGCCGAGTTATTCCCTCCTTGGTGGGTGTTGTCTTTCCGATCAAAGGCAACGATATCCTGAGCATGACAGCCCAGTCTCACAAGCTGCCGTCTGATCGTTTGTCACAGGGAAAGTCGTCAGTGGCTACCGAGTTCGCGATGGAAAGTGGACTCTGATTGGCCGACAGTCTCCGCAGCTGCCACAGGTAATAAGCTACTTTCTGAGAAATGCTTCTTTTGTACAAATTCTGCTGAAAATTAAAACGTGCAATCCTGTTGACTTTTGGCAAACTTTGAGTTAACTTTCTGGCAGAGTTGATACAAGTTCTGGTGGAGATCCAAGAGGCCTGAGAATCTCAGTGTTTTATTTAAAAGAAAAAAAGCTTTTTCTAGTCCTGTTTCAGACAAGTGAGCAGCAGACAGGCCATGTGAGCGACATCTGTGGAGTCGGATCACTTACACTGCTCACTGCAACTGTGTTAAAAAAAAAAAACAAAGCTACATGCTGCAGTGAGGCTTTATTATTTGTATTTTTTATTTAAAAAAAAAAAAAACCTACACACAGAGTTCAGAGTAAAGCTTGGAGTCCTACGCAGGGTTAGTTGTCCATCCAGTGCCCCGGGAGCATTTTTTGGGGGGGGGGTTAGGGTCTTGCTCAAGCGTCCATGGAGCAGTGGCTACTCAGCTGCGCATGGGTCTTGAACCGGCGACCTTCGAATCACAGGCACAGAGGCCTATCCTGATGAGCCCCACAGCGCCCCCTGTAGTATAAGAAGAAAACGGGGTCTGTCCAGTCCAAATTAGAAAAGCGTGATAAGATGGGTGTCAGGGGACAGGAAAGGGATTTTTGCTAAACTGAAACCTGTGAGACTGTGAGGTGTGGTGCCATCAAAGGGCAAGGGGTGAAATTAACAGGGGATGCGGGGGGGCTGCAATCTCTGCGTGATGCAGAGCCCGGTGACTCTAGGAGGGAGGAGACCAGAGCTTTTGCCCTGCTTCGTCCCACACATAAGGCCATTGGACAGATCATCAACACGAACGGGCCCTTTTTCCCTGTTAGTCCCTGACTCACGCTGTCAGTCGAGCAGGGGCTTAATGATTCTGGGGTCATGTGACGTAGGAGCGTGCCAGGGAATTCGGCGGCTCAGGGTGGTTTAGCGGTTATCACTGTGTTCACTGTCATCTTCACCTGTTCACCTCTTCGACACAGTCGTGTCGAGAGCTATTTTGGGATCCCTTACTAAATTTGTCTCTCTCACACACACACACACACACACACACACACACACACACACAGAGGCATGCACACCACACACTTGCGGTCGTCACTGTTTAACTGTCAGACAAGACAGAAAACGGCTGGTTTGAAGAAATCAGACTAACCAAATTTGATTATCTGAAGATGGATGGATGTTTAATTGTTGAGTTCTTTAATTAAATCTTTCATTGCTCATGTATAATAGAGCAGGACCTTCAGCATAGCTTCTCACACATTGTGGAAAGGCCATTACCCCCTTGTTTAAATGGTGGTCACATCACTCGCATCTTTGGGGTCCATTCTGCAGGTTTTAATGATTCGCCCCTTTTTCTTTCATTCCGCATGAAAAAGTCACTGGTTCTGGTGCTATTTTATGCTAACCTCTGAATAAATGTATGCTTCTCCTGCTTTTAAATTTTCTGAAGCATGCCAGTTGTGTTCATTTGTGTTCAGAAGTGTTGAATGTTTTTTAAACTGGCTGGCAAGCAATTAGATGACTGTGTGAGAGATACGTACTGTGTAGCCATGTATGGTAGAGTTCTACCCACGTTAACTCAACATCGGCTTTGTCATCGGGGACTGAAGTTCATTACCGCAAAGTTGCCTGTTATTAGGATTCCTCATGCTTTTGAAGTATGCTGTAGTACATCGTTCACTGAATAGCGCTTTGTGTTTTTTTTTTTTTTTTTAATCCACTGGTGATCATTAAATGCATACTGATGCTCCATCCATCTTCCAACTGTTAATCCTGATCTCCCGGGGAGCTGGAGTGCATCCCAGACAGTGCAGGGCAGGGGGACACCCGGGATGCCAGTCCATTGTAGGGCTTATGCACAGTTATATACTATTGGCCGATTAGAGAAGCTAATTAGCCTGACAGTATGTCTATTGGAGGAATCCCCCATGACATGTGGAGAGCATGCACTCAACACATGCAGAGCAGGGGATGTGATTCTCCTGTGGCTCAGCAGGTTGGGCCTCTGTGACTGTGATTGGAAGTTTGCAAACTCCAATCCCATGCTCGGTAGAATAGTCACATCACCCTTGGGCCACTGAGCAAGGCCCTTAACCTTTTGAAAAATGCAGCAGGGGTGCCGGATAAATGGCTGACCCTGCGCTAAGACCCCAAGCTTCACTCTCACATGTAAATGTCTTGGGGAGTGAGATGGCAAGCATTCCAATGTTCCTGTGTGGCCCATGTAATAATGCTCATCCTGACTTAGACCTAAAGGGTCACCAGTATTTCCCAATCCTGTCCTTGGGCACAGTCCACATTTTTGCTCCCTCCCAGCTCCTAGCCAATTAGGAACACAGAGTACCTGGTACCAGTGTGAGCTGGGAGGGAGCAAATATGTGGACACTCTGGGGGTCCCTGAGGACTGGTTTGGGAAACACTTTTCTAGATAAAGACCTGGATGAACTGTTCTGCATGGAGCTTTGATAGAGCTTGATGGAGCTTGTTTTCTTTTGTCCTTCGCCTAAAATAGTTTGCAGCGTGTGTGTGTGTGTGCACTTCTGAGTGTCTGGCTCGTCTCCGAGTGATGCTCTCCCCCCATTCAGGCTTTCTACCCGGCGGCCAATGCTGTGGAGGTCCTGTATGGAGACACGCTGGCAGCCAGATGCGTGTTTACGGGGGAGGGGAAGACCTCTGTCACCACCATTGGGTGAGTTCCCTGTTCTTCTGATTATCTGTCATTGTGAAAGGAAACAGTCGATGTAAAAACCTGTCCTGTATTTTCCAGCTCTTTAGGGAGGAAGGTAAAGGCGTGGCCACCCCTCTTTAATCCTGCAAATTAGACTTGCAAAGGGGTAAAACCCTTGGTGCCATTTTATTACTGGCCATCCTGTCACAGAATGAAATGGCCGAGTTAATGTATGTAAAACAGGAAGCACATATTCCGGACACGCAGCGGTTCTGTGGTGAACGCATGGATTCATCACGGACAACGAGGTTTGTGTGCTGTCTGTGACGTGTGGGGGATTCAACTGCGATGTTCTCGAAGAAGCGTGGATGACATTCTAGCGGGAATCGAGGCATGACTGATGGCCTGTCTGCGAATCGTCTGGTTATTCCACCTGCACGGTGTCAGATTTGAAGTAGCGTGCCATCGTGGTGCGTGACTGTTAGGTGAGGGTGCCCGTGTCTCTAAAACACCCCCACCCCGCTCCCTCGCTTGTCTCACGCACCGCGTGAGCCTCCTGCACAGGAAAGGAGAAGTGCCATTGAGCGCGGAGTCTAGTTCCAGGAGGTCTCTAGGGGAATCTTTGTGTCATTCTGAGCTGGCCGCCCACCCACATGTATGTATGTGTGCGTGTGCGTGTGCATGCGTACCGTGCTATCCTGGTTACCATGGGGAGTGACTGCTGTGTGACACTACAGCCTCAGGCCGGGCTGACGCATCTCTGTCCCTGCCCCACACACACACACACACTCCCAACCCCGATCTGCACCGAAACACTGATAACTGAAAGACACCTTTTGCTGCAACCCTTCTGCACCACACAATGAGGCTCGGAGCCTTAAAGGATGAATGCTTCCCTCTTCCCATTCTGTTCAAGCTTTCCAGGGACACCTGTCTGCCTTGCCTTTGCGTCCTTAATTACCGTGCTCACCACTCGTTCATATGGTATGATCTGTGTGTCTGCAGGGGCACCTCAGAGGACGAGATGTGTAACTTTTACATCATGTACTACATGGACAGCAAGCACGCCGTCCCCTACATGAACTGCATAGATGATGAGGAAAATGACCTGTTCAGAAATATCCCCAAAGAGGCCAATATCCCCATCCCTGTGAGTCCTGAGATGATGATGGTGATGCAGGCCCATGGACACCATACAGGTAGAACGTAAACCTCTGGCCTCCTGTCTCGTTTTCTTCACACGTGAGATCCGGCTCAGGTTTACATTCTTTCAAGACTTGCTGGTAGCTACTTTGAAATATCACAGGTTTTGTTTACACCCTGCCCTGTATGATTCAGGACTTTAGATTATAAGGTTTTGCCTGTTATATAATCGAGACTGTAGTGTTTTTTTTTTTTTTTTTTTTTTTTGTCGCGTTTCAAAGATTTTCACGATGGCGCCAATCTGCAGCAGAGGGAAGAGGAAGCCGGTTTGGACCAGGGTGAGTTGTCCTTGAAAGCTGCAGAGCGTAATAACAGAGTGTGACGGAGGCGGTTTCATCTTGGCATTTCTGTGCTCCCCTTCGGAGAACGTGTAAGTGTCGAAGTCCGCTCGGTGCTGTGGCCTTCACCGCGGGATGCCACCAGGAGCGTGGGACGGAGCACCAGCGCCAGATAGGCACCACGGGAACTTAAAACGGAAGGAGGGATGAAGGGAGATTAAAGTCAAGGGAGGGGTGGAACGCGGTGGAATGCGGGGGCTGTTTAAAGAAGCAGACATGGGGGAAGATGTTGATTGAAAGTGACATTGAGCAGTGCTGATGTGTAGTGTAAAAAAAACTGTTCTGTGGCACCCGGGAGATAGACCGTTATCGTTAATATTCTTCGGTAATTTTTAGTTTTTAGTTAATCGTTATGGTTTTTGTTCATTGAAGGAAGCTATCTCCGAACTATAGGCAATGGTGTTTATGAATAATAATCAAAAAAATCTAAAGAAAATATGTTTGATTTCAATTTGAAAATTGTAGCTAAATGATTAGTGGCTTCAGATTGCCTAATTAATTATTCCAATTACATTTGGTGTGGGCAATGCTGATTGGTTTTGCTTCCAAGAAAAATATCCGATGGCTTTTGGGAGACCTGGCTTTTATTACCGGTAATGGAGGTGGGGAGATACAGCAGAGGATGGAGGAGATATCAGCTTTGAGGTTGGTGCTCGCAGGCAAGACGATGTTACCATGGATACACATCCCTCCTAATGTTGCATCACGTTCAAGGATTTCAGAATCTCAGCATAAAGTATCCATGTGATATTTATTGTGGAAACACTCTGGTTCTATTCGCTGTCCAGTAACTGAGTCAGCAGAGAATAATTCCATAAATAAAATATAACATACAGCTGTCTTAAAGCAATTAGGGACTGTTCCCTATTGATTCAAGCTGCGGTACTAAAGGTAATGCTCTTGTTTGCTATTGTTTGAGGGTACAGCCCTGTAAATGAAATGGCACCTGCTGTGAAAAGCATTAAACTAAAGAGAATGGACTTTTTTGTATTTGCTCTTCTCATACTGACCTTTGATTTGATGCCTTTAGTGGAAATTATTGATAGTCGACATTTAGTGTATCAAATATATCCTTATGGTGAATTTCTTTAGACTTAAATAGGTCTAACTGAGCTTTGTCTCCCGAACTGTATTTATTCCTCCAGAACAAATAAATAATTAATGAAGTCTTTGTTACAGGTATAACTTCATTATTCCATAACCTAAAGTGTGCACATAGTCAGTTCTGAATAGTCAGTATTTTTATTTTATTTTTTTTAATTATGTTTGTGTGAAATCGACTGCAAATTGGCAACGGGTGGCGTGCAAATGGCAGTGATATCATTAAAGGATCATGTATCGGATTTGCCGCTTCTTTGGAGGATGGAGGACCAGTTGGCAGATGCGGCCGTCAAATGAGTTGTGACTGAGTGGGTGGAGCCGTGCCAGAGGGCCGGGTATTTAAGCGAGCAGATTGCCCCGGCGGTCCTCAGAGAGACCGCATCCATTAGCATGCCTCATTCTTTCCACCGCAATGCTCCATTTCCCGCCACGAGCCTAATCTCTGTTAGAGCCACTCGCTGTACACAAGTAAACAAGGTTGTATCCACTGATTTGCTTTGGGGAATCTCAGTGCTTCACAGAAAAATGAATAACTTCCCTGCATATTGGAACAGCCGTAATGGAAGATTATTCTGCACACCGGATGGCTCGGTATATTTCGGCAACGTTAGATCCAGTTTGCACCTGAGATGTTAATCTGATGATGACACACTTACCCTGTAGTTAGCATTTTTAAACAGACCGTTATTCATTTGGCGCTTTTCCACTGGCCTACAGGAACCAGGCCGTACCTGACCTGTACCTCCAAGAGACACTAGTTGCAAAGCGGTTCCAGCTCACTTCGAGTTTCCACTGCAGAAAGGTTGGCTCGGTAAAAGTTGCCGGGTTAGGAGAGACAGTGGCATAAAACCTAAGAGACACTTGTTTACTGCCCACACATGTGTTATGTTAGCATCAGATGCTAGCGGAATTAGCATTAACTTGCAAATTTAAAATTTTCAAATTCAGAGTTATTGGGAAAGCATCAATACATTATAACGTGCAATTCTACTAATAATGAGCAATATATAAAATATGCCCTTTTTTCCTTCAGATGATCCATGTACATCAACACAGATCACGGTTATTTCTGGTCTTTGTGTTATTCGACCAATTGGTGGTGATGCAGCCAGCTCAGTTTATTCACGCTTTCACTTCCACGCTAGTTAGCTGGGCCATGTCAACACGGGTACAGGTCAGGTACGGCTCGCACAATTTACGATGGAAAAGTGGCTCGGGTACAGCTCGGTTCTTGGAGGCAGTGAAAAAGCACCAATAGATACCCATCCATCTGTTCATCTACCAATTGCCGATACAGCGCTGGAGCTGAAACCCATTGCAAGTAGCAAGGGTACACCCTGGAAAGGATAAAGGCTATTCTATTACCACAATGATTATTATGAATGCGGTTTTTCTAACTGGCAACAAATAATGCTGCATTGGTTCACTGAGATGTATCTGTGTTTTTGGCCGTTTTCCATTGAATATAAATGAACTGAGGAAATTTTAAGTAAAGTCTGATCGAAGAAGGAAAGCACTTAGGTGCTTTACTCAAGGGTACAACAGCAATTCCCGACTCCCTGCTTGACACCTAACTTTGATTGTGTAAGCAGGTAGTAGTCTGGACAGAAGCATCAAACAAGCAAACAAAAAAAACACTTGTCTTTTTTTCTCAGGCTCAGAATTAGATTCTGTAAATTTTCTGTTTTTTTTTTTTTTTTTTTACGTTATCTTCTGCATGTTTAAACACATCAGTGCTTCCCCAGTCTCACCATTCATCCTGCTGATCAAACGAATAGAGAATTCTGTCCTAGAGCAATCAGACTGGACGTGAAGGCCCCTCACTCATCAGCGTTAGGAAGGCGTTTGTACTGTCACGCTTTAAACCCAGTGTGAAATGGCTGGAGAGCCTGCGCCCTGCCAATAGCTGAGCCGCTTTGCCTTGCTGAAGAGTGCTCTTTGCTGCAGGGCAGGGAGAGCGTGGGGATTGTCAGCACCTCTCGCAAAACCGCACCACATGTTTATCTTAAAATGCATCTCTTTGCCGCCCCTTAGCAAACTCCCAGCGGGGAGGTTTGCACAGACCTGTAAAAATAAGCAGCCCAAGTCCAGTTTTATTCCAAAGTGCCATTCCTGTATTACAAAGTCCCAATCCTTCATTGGCGTATCCAAAAAGCCATGGTAAGCTTCCCTCATGTGAAGAGGGAATGATAGCAGAGGTTCTGCCGCGTGTGATTTTTTCTGAGTCCGTTTTCGCCGTTGCTCACCGTTCAGCTCTGGCTCTGTTCGTCTTCAGACTGCATTTCACAGCGTATGTAAATACAGCTCGGGGTTACTGGAACGTGAATGGCGCTTGTAAACCTTTGGGAGATGCTTACAGGTGCCTTTCTGACATCGGTTTGGAGATGGGAGGAGCGAGAACACGACAGCATGCATGTGCCAGCTAGGCGGGTAGGATCAAATCTAAGAAATGCAAGTAAAAGCCATATGTGTTCATAACACAAGAAGACTGATGAACTACATCAGTGTTTTGGAACCCAGTCCTCGGGGCTCCCAAACACTCCACATGTTTGCTCCCTCCCACCACACCTGCACCTGGTATTCGCTGTTCTTGATTGTTTGGTTCAGGTCTGCTGGGAGCTGGGAGGGAGCAAACATGTGGATTGATTGTGGATTCATGAGGACTGGTTTGAGAAGCATTGAGCTGTGGAACCGCCCAGAATCATCCTCATTGACTAGACCCTTGGGGTTAAAGCAGATATGACAAACAAAAAAATATGCATTGGGTGGAGGGGGGGGATTTACAGGATTTTAATAACATGATAGCACAAATCTTTTTGCATAGAACAACAAAGCAGAGTTTCATTTTTTTAAGGTCAATTTATTTTTATATAGCTTCTTTTAGTGCTTGGTGGCAATATTGGCACTCCAGCCACTGGAAAAAAACTCACACTGGTCGATTCGCACTAATGTGGTGCTGAGGTATCGCCTGCTGCACGGCTGCACTCAGGTTCTCATCCCTGAGGTGGTTTGTTGTGGGGTGGGTGTGGCATCGCACTGTAATCAGTGCATGCTCCTTACCTAGTGCCTTTTTTAATAAAGTGGCCCCAAGGCACTTGACAAGAGTGTGTGTCATTTATATAAAATGGTGCATGAAACAGGAAAAAATAAAGGAAGAAAGAATGCCAGTAGACAACGGTGGAGAGTAATCGGTTGGTGGTACTTTCAGACCACAGTAAAACACTCAGACCCAAATAACGAACTCGGAGAAACATAATGACCTTATGAAGGTTTCTTCGGTGCTGGGTGAAACCCTCAGTGTCATTACACACATCACTAAGCACTCGACTGTGGTCCACTCCCCGTGGGGAGGGGGGCGTGTCTGCTGTGCTAGCACACTGTTGGATCTGGTGCTCTGCAAATAGTGAAAGCTATTGAGCTCTGGAAAATCCATTAGTCAATCTACAGCTTAATCTACTTGTTGAAGGAAAAGGCAATAGTGGATTTGCATCCCTCCATTATGTCTGGTGACCGTAGGGTGAGTTTAGGTGAGAGATACATGAATTACTCTCCACTATAAGACGACTCTGTTGAATTCTCAAATCCGATTGGACCACACAGTGCCAGCCAGGCGAATCACAGTAGTAAAGCAGTGTGCTATTATAATCTTAAATTCTAACTAATGTTACTTAAAATTCCTGAAGTAGAATACATAATTAATACACAATTAACAGAAACTATAAAAATGTTTGATCATTGGCAGAATAAAGTAGTTCTACTAATAAATGCGTTTTCGGCTCATAAATATGAAAATAATGTGTTTTGGTACAAACGTGCAAACCAAATGTATAGTAACGTCATATAAGCAGGTCGCTGCACTCCAAGCTGTGCATTAACCCTTACTTAACATATTGTGGTGATCTCATTCTTATACTGGTTATTTTTTCTTGTTGAGTGCTTAAGACTAGGGGCAGGGACAGATTTTACTAAACAGACCTTTTTCTGCTTATGGAACTACTTTCCATCGCAGTTGTTTTTTCCCCACCATTTACAGATAAGTAAATGAAGTTGCCATGGTTTCCTGAGCAGGTGCAGTCGTGCACTCACCCTCGTGTCGTGGACGCCATCATACCATTCGTTCCCACAGAGTGACTATTCAGACCGCCTCCTGTCGTCATAAATAATTGCGATCTGCATTTTCCCTCCATGGTCACCACTTTCACTGAAGTACGACTTGCAGACGGGAGCTGAGGACTCCTTTTTCAAGTTTTCACAGTTTGACGTTTTTCTGCTCATGATATGGTACAGCATCGTAATGACATACAAGTGGGGAAAAAAAAGTCATCTGAATATCAAAGTGAGGTATGAAGTCTGACCCTTGGCACTGTTTTTTGAAATAATACCAGAATTACTATTGTGTATCTGCGATTCTGAATATCTTTCCATGAGGACCATGAACCTAAGACTCTCATTATGTCTTGCTCTCCAGCCTAGATCATGACAGCTTGATAAATCACTTGCTATATTTGCCTTCTCCTTTATTAGGACACAAATTCTGTGGCTGTCATTCAAGGCCCTTTTGTTGTCTCTCTCTGTTTGCTGGGCTGGTACTGATGGATGAGCTCAATAAATAAGGACCGGATACAGCTCATCTATCATTGTAGGTGGAGCTCAGCTCCTGATATGAACAGAGATGCTGGATGAGGTACTCCAACCAATATTGGCGGAAGATATTTTGTGAGAAACCAGTTCTTTAAGTGACTGTTCTTCAGGAGTAAGCTTTTCCTTTAACATACGTTGCTTGTGGAATGTGAGACGTTCGTGTCTTCCTACTAGTCTTAATTTTCTCAGTCTCTGTCTCGATATTCTTGAGTGTGGAACATTTTGTTATATGGACGGAAAGAATTTCAGTTGATTTCTAACTGCTTACGCCTATGAATCCAAGTTTTTAAAAAACCATTTGTTACCTTTTCCATGTTATGGGCTTCAATAGCTCTTCTTCTGAGGTCATCTGAAATCTCTTTTGATCAGACCATATTGAATTTGAGCAGAATTCTGTTGTGAAGCGCATAAAAGCAAAAATTGTCTGGGTTTATTTTTTTGTATGGCAGGGCTGGTCAAATCGGTACCCATATTGATTGGAACACCTGACTCCAATTACCCTCTTTTCAAATGCTCTTTATGCTCAAGTTACTTATATTTTTTCATCAATGACCTTGATTGTTTAAACCAGTGCTTCTCACACCCCCAGGGACCCCCAGACGGTCCACGTTTTTGTCGTCTCCCAGTTCCTTGGGAGCTGCTCAATAAAGACTGGACAGCATAAACATGTTGTGTGTTTGATAGATAAGGGAGGAATCCAGATGATTCCAAACAGTTTATAAACATCTTCTCACAATATGCTAATTCGGAGCAGCATGTCCGCATCTGACCTTTGGTTGTGGGAGATTGATCATGACCAGAGAGCAGAATAAGTGGTTATTAGTGCATCGAGCATGACGCAGTGCGGGTCCCCTTCTCCGTGTGGAGTGCCACAGAACGCCCTGGCCCCACGCTGCGGCCGCAGATTGAGTAATTTCACAGCCTCGTCAGCAGGAGCAGTCCAAAAGACAATTTTATGGTTGGGCAGCTATCCGTGTAAGTATGAAGCAGCGGCGGAGATGGGCCGCCCCCAGCTCAGTGATCGCCATCGCATAAGTGAAATGAGTTTAGGTGAAAGTGAATGCAGAGATCAGCATGTTCCCGGTGGCATCTGGAAGACCAGCTTTAGGGAACGTGACGTGATGAGATGTGGAGCCTGCCAAACCTGGGTGGTCACATGACATGATGGGGAATAGACCAAACCAGGGTGGTTGCAAGATACAATGAGGACCAATCCAAAACATGGTGGTCACATGACATGGCATGGGCTAAGCCAAAACATGGTGGTCACATGACATGGCATGGGCTAAGCCAAAAGATGGTGGTCACATGACATGGTGTAGACTATGTCAAGCCAGGCTTTCCCCCAATGCTCTGTCCTTATTCGGCATTTTCTCTCTCTCCCTTGTATTTCATATCTAAGGTTCTCCTCTGCAGCTGCGTCCTCTCCTGGATCTACTGTTCTACTTGTTCCCTCCCTAAAAGTTCTCCCTTCATAGCCTACTCTTCCCTCTCTTCCTTGTTTTCTGTGCAGGTGACTTCTATTCCCTTCTTTCCAAACTCCTAGGGGAGCGGGAGGACGTTGTCCACGTGCATAAGTATTACCCCCCAGAGGCAGAAAGAGCCCAGGCGGATCTGGTGGCAGAAATCGATAGCATAATCCAAAAGAAGGACCTGCTTGGGCCCAACCCAAGGGTAGACCCCAATGAGAGGGGGAGCACTATTCTCGTGAGGGACAGAATTCACAAATTTCACCAGTTAGAATCCACTCTTAAACCCCCTGGGAGGAAGATAATGCCGGCTAAGACACCAGGTAGCACCGGGGAGAGAACTCGGAAACAAGGTGGGTCTGAGCCTTGTTTCAAATTGGTTAAAGGAAAGAACAATCATTAAAATAGTTTTTTTTATTATTATTATTTATTTTGAAAGTATTTTTTCCCCATCTCATTGTACTGGAAAGCTGTAGCCTTTGCAGATATTGGTGTTTTCTGCACAGTACAAATACAAATTCATTTCAGTGGATTTAGGTCAGATTATAGAGATAATTGAGATTTTTTGCATTCCCTCTCCTTGGAATCAGGATGGATTTTAATATGAATTCTGTGGCCTGGCATTAGCCTAAGCTGTCGCCAGCGTGTTCAGCATGCGGACACGCTGGAGGTTCTTCATGCATGTCACCTTGGTTTCGGTGGAGGGAGGTGCAGGGGTGCGAGTGACTCAGCCCACTGAGATCTTTCGCATGCGGCTGGAGTCCTTTCCTATACGATTGCGGTCCACACTGATCGCGCTCTGAAGTGTCATAAGTATAAATGAATTTGTGCCCGGCAGCCTCCTCTCTTAAGACATGAAAGGCAGGTGTATGCTTGTTGGCCTTGTGTTCTTAATTGCTATTCCTCCTGGTGTATAGCTTCTGAACATTTAATTAAAAAGCTTTCAGTATTGTTTGTCTTAGAGTGCTATAGTCGTGCCCTTGGAAAAAAATGCACTAGCTAGTGTGCATGGAAGACAATATGATTCCCACTGAGTCGCCTCTGTGTTTGTTCAGTGATACTGTGTGTGGGTTCCTGCTTTATAATGATTGATTATAACCTGTCCTCAGGGCCTGTGACATGCGTATTCTGATGATCAGTATTTGCAGTTTCTATGGTGATGTGTAAATGTTTGATTTATGAATGTGTAGTCAGTGTTGTTAGTGATTCGACTTGGTCTCCAGTAGAAGCAGTCTTTGGTTTGCTTGGTTTGGAAGTACCCTGATTATTCTGGGTGGTTGTCTGTAAATGTGGTGTTATGTTGTCGTTTTAGCCTAAAGCAGGAATTTTAAGAATCAAATGTGCAGTTCGTGCCTTTTTTTTTTTTAGGAAATTGCCAGATATTGTTGCCTGCAAGATGTTAAATTTTCATTCTACATTCTAAACAAAATGTTTATTCAAACGTGTTTAAATCATGACTGAGTTTGTACTGTGTTAATACCGTTGTGTGCAAGTAGCCTGATCCACCATCAGAGCGGAAAACAACCCCCCCCCCATTCTTAATTTCTCCTTTGATCATTCCATTATTATTTTGTGACCACTGATTAGCATGTCAACTGTCTTTTCCCCAGCAATCTCCTTCTGCTTCATTATGCATTTTGAAATGAACCAGGCATTTCATTTGACCGGTTAGCATACCATTGCAAGCTCTAGCGTGCTTCAGTTGTCTGTTTCAGCATCTGTTGCCTGTACTGAAACAGAAAGTCGCGTATACCTAAATGCCATCCCTTTAGCATTTAAATATAGCTTGTCACTTGTGTTCCTTGTTCTGTTTACAAAGCTCTGCTCTTGCTGATCAGTGTGCAGCAGCTTACAGCAGGATTTAGATTACATTAATTTTTAAAAAGGAGTTTATGTACTTGCCATTAGCTGGGTTTCAGTATCTATACATGTATCCAATATCTTTACTAGATTTATGGGACTACTCACTAGCTGGATTACAATATTTATGTGTGGATTGGGGCATCTGAATGGCCAGTGTACCATGTGATGGTTTTGTGCTGGAAGCTGATTAAAAATGTCCACTCACCTGTGGTTTTCTTCTGTAGGGTATCACCTTGAGGAAATGGTGGACTGGCCAGAGGTCCAGCTCCAGTTAGGCCAGGTGTCTGGTTTGGCGGTGGATTCCAGTGACAACCTGGTCATCTTCCACAGGGGTGACCACCGATGGGGTGTGAAGTGAGTGATGCCGGCACAGGGGTGGCCTGCTAATGATTTTCGGGGGCTGCTAATTATGTGGCCTTCACAACAAACTCGGATGCCCTCTCATCAGATTACTGCTGGAGCTCTCTGCTAAATGACGATAAGGGAGTCTGGTGCCAAATGTCAGCCGTCTGAGGTGCCCGAGCGATTGATAGTCTTCCAGTAGTGCAGTTAGTTACAGCGTAAGAGAGCTGCTCACGGCTTTTCAGACTCTCAGGGGCAGCTCTTTACCTCCCAGTGGGAGCATGTTGCCTGAGGTACTGAGCTTTGACCCAATGCTGCTCACCCAAAACACAGCAGTTACTCAAATTAAAGTCAGTCTTCTGTTCCCTGACCTCATATCTACTATTCCAGTGAAATTATATGGATGGCTCTACTTCAGCAAGAGTTAATGCAACATTAAACTTCTTCATTTTTGCAGCTGCCCATATTATTATCCATTTACAAGGAAATGATATTTAGACTGGAGTCATTAAGAGAGGTCTGACCACTACAGATATGGCTAAGATTAGTATGCCATAAAGATATCAGGCTCCTATACATATTTAAAGGGATTTCAAGGTCACTGCAGAAAAGTACCTGGTGATATGGAGTTCATCAGCTTACTGGTGTCGGCTTGCTGCGCATGAGGACAATGTCCAGGGTAGGTGCTGGGAAGGAGTGATTCTAGGATTTTTTTTAAGTTGGAGGGGGCATGAGAGGGGCCTTAATTCATACAGAGGGGCCGACCTTATTATTAACCAATGATATGTTTGGAATCGGTGAGTGACAGGGAAGGGGCTCTCTGGGTGCCAGTCAACTTTCAGCTGGGGCCAGTGCCTCTGTGTTCCCATCCCTGGCACTGGGGACAGAATAGCAAGGCGCCCATTGTAGATATGGAAAAAAAAAAATCACTCTAGAAAAATAAAGCAGGTGACGTTGTCAGCTGTGATGGGTGCTGATTGGCTCGGGGGTGCAGGTGTGGAGTTATCCCTCTTTATAATAATTTTATGAACGAACCATCTGCGGCCTTTAATCAGTCAGCCCTAAAAATTGCAGGAAAAAAGCCCATTAAGCTGACACGATCGGCTGCGTTTTCGAGCACAGGTGCAGGGCTGGGGAACTGCCACTGCTCCCAGTTTTCCGCACACATGAGTTCTGCTGACCACAGCCACCAGACTCGAAAGATAATTAATTATCTCGCCCACAGCTCTGCCGATCTGCTCTGTATCGTTGACGTGCGGCCATGGCGTGAGAGCTCCTGGAGTAGCGTTTTCTGGAATAACATTAACGTGATGAACACCACTCCAGGGAAGGGGGGGGCGGCTTCCGTTAGAGCCGTCCTTGGCTCAGCGCTCCCTGACCCACCTGTCGCTTCGGGATGGAAGGGGGCACAGGGGAATTAATGACGCAGGGCACAGGTGATGAGGGACGGCCTAGTTCATCCATTCATCAGCCCCAGCGCTGTCAGCAGCCCTAGTACCCAAGACTCTGCACATAGGACATCTCCCTATTCATCAAGTACCACAGTTCAAGCCAGTAACAAATGAGCACTGTGGGTCCGTTCAGCACTGCAATTAACATGCCGTTAAGGGCTCATGCCTCCTAATTATACCAAAACAAAAAAAAAACCTTAATGTAGGATTCTGTGTTTGTGCCTTAATTCCTCATTTATTCCATTACTGTCAAGTCACACCAACCATATTCAGTAACACAGCATACAGTGATGTGACGTAACGTTTCCCTGCCCGTGGTGCTACATGAACACCTACAGTGCAGAGAGAGATTGGGCAAGTGCAGGGAAAAAACAACATTAAAAACATCAACACAATGTAAAAGTAAACAATGATGCAATGTTCACAATGATGGAAGCAGCAGAGCATCTAAGTGATATGTAGGAGTAAATAAATATGAGAAATAGTCATGAATAATTGGTATTCGTAACTGGTAATACTGGTGCAAATGGCAATAAACTGAGTAAGTACTGCTGGATGGCAGATTTAGTGTAAAATCCAAATGCCTATGAACTTGTACATTTAGCGGTCCAGAATACAGATTAAGACAACGACTTCCAAGAAGATGCTTCTTTGCTCGCTGCAGGGACAGCAAGTTGCTCATTGATGGTTAAGACAGTGGTTTACCTTTTCTGATATGTCGTTTACGGTCTTATCTTATGGCTGGGTAGCTATTATATATGGTAATCAAGTCATTATTATTTTTTTTTAGCTCTTTTGACAACCAGCGCATTTACCAGCAGCGTTCGCTGGGTCCTATTCAGCAGTCCACAATCCTGGTGGTGGATCCTGTCAAAGGAAAAGTGCTCAAAGCTTCTGGGAGAAACATGTAAGCACTACACCACCCCGTCGTCCTGTGTAGCTAATGTAAATCCCCTTAGCTACGTTGAAAGCGGCCTTTTGAACAAACCACCTCGTTTGTCCAAAAACAAGACATTAGACGTGTTATAACTGAATTTGGTGTTCCTGTTTGACCTTCGCTTAATGTGTGTAGACGTTACTTTTTACACTAAACTGAAGCAGCTTGTGGTGCGAGGATAGGGGGCTGAAAAAGCCGTTCAGGGGATTTAGAGTAAACAAGCTGCGTTTTGTTTGTCGGATGACATCGATTACTTTATTATGGCCACTTTTGTTTCACCCAAAAGGTCACAACAGGGTTTTGAATCATATTTACGATTAACGGTATATGTCAGTATTAGGTGGACATAAAGGGCAAATGTAAATATAATGGCTTGGAAACATTGTATATAATGTAGGATTATAGGTTTATATAAATATGTTTAACGGTGTATTTTCAATGCATTCGATTATAACGTCATACTGATTTTGATTTTGCTGATGCTGCTTATATATGTACAGTATCAACCCTAAGCCTGCCTTGCAGGTTCTACCTTCCTCATGGTATAACCACAGACAAGAGCGACAACTATTGGGTCACTGATGTAGCACTTCATCAGGTAAACATGCATATTATTTCTGCTTTGATACATTTTTTTTTTTTATGCTTTTGTTTACAATAAATTGTTTGGGCTGCATTTTGTAAAGTTCATTCCAAATATATTACTGGAAGAAACTTGGAAATTGGAAAGAAAAATGCAAACGCACAGTCGAACGTGTGTATCGTGAAGGTCAGTCTGCTGGGACCCTTGCGTGGACTTTGCTGACGTTTTGGACGTCAGCCTGAAGTTGAGGTTCTTGTCCTTGAAGGTCTTCAAGCTGGGGCCTGATGGGCGAGACAAGCCCCTAGTTGTCCTGGGGCAGGCTTTCAAACCGGGCGATGACAAGAGCCACTTCTGCCAGCCCACCGATGTGGCTGTGGACTCCCTGACTGGGAATGTCTATGTGTCTGATGGCTATTGCAACTCTAGGATCCTCCAGTTTTCTCCAGAGGGCAACTACCTGAGGCAATGGGGAGCAGGTAAAGGAGCAGGCAAACAACCCCAGTCATGCCATATACACACCTCATTTTTACCTTTTAGAGTGTTATATACAGCACACTTTCCATTATGTGCCTTTCCTATTCATTTATTAAAATATTGATTCTTCCATATCCAGAAGTAGGGATTTAATCATACCATTTATTATGATGTTTATCATTGAATGATCTATCACAGTGTATCAGCTTTCTGTATAGTTTTTGGTGCATTGTGGCAGACTCTCACTGGTATTGTAAATCTCTGCAAGCAGGACACTGCTGATTCTGAAGTGATGTGGTACTTAATGAGCTTTTGTATATTAAAATCAATGGGAAAACTTATACGGCATCAGTGAAGCATCCTTTTGGTGTAAAATGTGTAACTGTTGTCCCAGCTGTGTTTGTATATAAATATATATCATTTCTAAGCTGATTATTTTCCGCTTCCTGCCCAACTGTCCATAAACAGTCTCTCAACAATGGCCACACCTGCTGATGCTACACGTTTGATGATGATCTGGCTTCGTTTCAACTGTTAATCGCATTGTTGCTTCCCATCCTGCTTCAGAGTCTTCAGACAAGCGCAAAAGGATCCCGTTTAAAATCCCGCATAGTCTGGCATTCTTGCCAGACAAACGGGAGCTCTGTGTGGCCGACCGTGAGAACGGCCGGATCCAGTGTTTCTTGGCTGAATCTGGACAATTTGTGAAGGAGATCAAGAAGAATGAATTTGGAGGAGAGGTGTTTGCGATCTCCTACTCCCCTGTGCATGGTATGTTTGATGAATTTTCTTTCCTTACTACATTTTTCAGTGCTGTTCCCCCATAAATATGTATTAGTTTTTGTTTTATAGGTCACGCATACAAAGAATCAATCAGTCAAAGTTGTATTTGTCACATATTTATACTCAGTACACTGTGCAGTAAAATGCTTGGTTGCTGAGCTCCAAGACTGAGAAACGGGTCATAAGTATAAAGAGACAAAACATCAAACAATAATCATAAATATCCACAAACAGTGTCCATTTTGCAGTGAAGGTGACAGTGCAAAGAACCAAATGAATAAATATGTCAGTATTTTCATATGTAAACTGTTTAGTGGGAGTACAGTTAGCTCAAATAGAGCATTGTCATGGGTTCAAATCCCAATTGAGCATATAGAAATGTAAATATGTAATTGTTGCTTTGGATAACAGTGTCAGATGAATGAATAAACAAAATGAAGTGCGTAGATAGGCTTGGGCATGAGTTGGCTATAGTAGAACATTGGTCACAAATGGGTCCTAGACAATGTGCTCATTTAGGATCAAAATAACCTGGGAAGAAAATGCTCTGGACAGGTTCAAGGGTTCAACTTGTGTAAGTTTTTATCCATTAAAATGAGAAGTGAAATCTTCTAGTTTTTTTCCTTTTTTTATTTTTTTTTAACTGCACTGCTTGCAGTGTTGTGTGCTTATATTAAGCTGCCCTTGACTTAACATTCCATTTAAAAATGTGTGGTTTAAGACCTTGATGGCTGATATCACCTTTTTTTAGCAGTGAAAGTTTCGATAGGTTTCAGTCACAAAACAGAGAGATCATATGAAATGTATTATTTTTGCAACTTAATGGGCCAGGTGCTATGAGAACAATCATTTCAAACGTTTAGTTTTAACTTGTATCCATTTAGCATAAAAGCAGAAAAATTATCTATTGATCCATCTGTCCATCTTCCAACCACTTATTCAATTGCGGTTTGAATTATCTGTAAACTGCCTTGAATTCTTTGGAACTGTATAGCTGTGACAGACTACTGTGACTCAGTACTTTTAGGAAATTGAGTTAAACATGCGTGCTAAAGACCGATTCACTGCTGAGTTTACTGTGTCCGGTTTTTATTGCCACTTGATTCTTTTGGAGCTGCGTTTGTTGACTGTTGCATATATACACCAAAAATATGTCAAGGATTCATCCTCACTGTCTCGAGTTATTTTTCAGCTGTTTGTCCATCTATTTAAAACCATTTTGCTTTGTGCTTTTAGGAGGCCTGATATATGCGGTTAACGGGGAATCTGCTTACGGTCAGTCGGCCCTGCCGCAGGGATTCGTGATCAGCTATTCCACCAAAGAAATCCTGGATTATTTCAGCCCAGATACTCAAGTAGGTTATTTTATTTATTTCTCTATAATGGTGCAGTTCTTTTCATTTGTTTGTGCTTTTATCTCTCTCTGAGTCAACAGATCCCCTTATTATATTACTTTATCTACTTTGCTTTTTTTCAGATTAGTCATTGAAAGTGATTTTATTGTTCCACTTTGGCCATCAAATATGTGTTTAATTTATCTAATCCAGAACACAGGCTCTCTCTCCCCTGAGGAGCCGCAGGGTAAAACTGCTCTCTGGCTTCGCTAAAGTAAATGTATGGATAGTAAGTCATCTGACCTCTTCACTTTTCTGAGCAGGTTCCTCCAATGCCTCAAAGCTGCCAGCTCTCACGAGAGCCTTTGCTTTTCCCGCCTCAGTCTCTCTGCGTGCTGCTCACACTGGCATGTAGTTTAATCACCAGAGAGCTGAGACATTTCTTTGTGTATGTGTGCGCGTGTATGTGTTCGCGTGCGCGTGTGCGTGTGTGTGTTTTCCGTATTTGGATTTTCAGTTGGCAGTGGCCATGTTCCTCTGGGATTACACTTCTGGGTCCTTGCAGCACGTCCTGCTGCCTGCTTATCTTGCCCTATTTTTTTGTATTGGTTTTTACTTATCTGCCAATAACATACTGGACGAGCTGTATGTATGTGAGAGGACAGTGCTCATGGTTGCGTTTTTCTGAATTCTTGTATTACGACCATCAATTGCAGCATTGACGTTTCCAGTTGATAACAAAAAGGCATTTTAAAAAAGCATGTAAAAATGTTTTTGATATATTTTACCTTTTCAAGGTACTCTTGCACTGTGCTCCTGGATTTATTAAACAGATATTAAGGTAATTGTTGCTACCCATTAAATAATTATTGGATTATTAAGCCAATCTTTTATGTCCTTTCACACAGGAGTTCAAAATGCCGCACGACATCGTTGTCACCAAGGACGGAAGTGTCTTTGTTGGGGATGTAGCCAGTGATACAGTCATAAAGTTCATCTCTGCTGAAAGTAAGTTAATTTCATTAGGTAACCAGCTGTTAACGGCCTGAATCCCATGTAATGCCGGGCTGCCCTGACCCTGGGCTCCAGGCACATTAACAACTGGCATCTTGGTAGAATTAAGGAGACACAGTTGGCGTTGGGTTACATGGTAATCAGTGCAGCCTTCGCTAATGAGAGCTACAGTGAACCTTCTGGGAACCTCAGCTGCTTAAAACAACCACAGGCTAAGTTCATAAATTGCGATTAGTGTGATTAGAGGGTGAGATCAAGATTGATCTAACCCTCTGTCATGCTCACCCATGTAGGCTGCCGATATCTTTATTCTTTTATTCTTAATGCATTTCACTGTGATGAATGAAATTCTTATTTTGCAATATTTCAGTACAGCTAAAGTAGCTCATGTGTCTGTTGAATGCCAAATGTTGTTTGAACTAAACAACAAGCCAGAGACCCAAGAAAAGATGAAAAAGTATGAATTGCTTAATTAAACAATTTATGGCTCTCCCATTAGGCACATCTGCAGTATTTAAAGCTGAGAAAACTCCTTAATTTCCATTTGTTTCAGAAGCCGAGCATCGTTCTGTGAAAAAAGGTGGAATTGAAGTTCAGGAAATTGAAGGTGAGGCTTCTGGTTATGATGTTTAGTATATGTCAGACTTTTAAGGCTAATCTACACTATAAAAAAGACTCAATTTGCATGCATCTACCATGACAGATATGTTTTAGGCCAATTTACAGCTAATATACTAAACATAACACATATAATACATATGATACAGTTTTTTGTTAGATTAAAATTCAGATCTGACTAATTGACCTTTTGTTGATGAAATTCCTGCTGATGGTTTTATCTGAATCCATTGCAGTTTTGTAGCTTTTTTTAGGTGGTAGTAAATCTGCAGGTTGGAGTAATTCTGGTTCGGTTAATACATGCAGCTTTAATAAATTCAACACTCAATCCAGACCAAATGAGCATGTACCCAGAGAAACAAAATCATGAATGATCATGATGGTCATGTGACTCATTGCACTCGTGTGATTGGGCGGGATGAGGCTCCTGTACAGTGTTCAAAGTGACACTCCCTGTTTCGTCGTCCGGCCGATAAGCCTCACCCCCCGCCCCCCCCCCTCCAGTTTATAACTGCATTCCTCCTCTTTTCCAGAGACGGAGACATTCGTCCAGACCCATCTGAAGCCGCTGCAGGAGCTTCCGGCACAGCCTCCTGAGGCCGCCCCGCAGAAAACCCCAGAGCCACCCCGGAAGCTCAAAGAAAAGCAGAAAATAGAGAGCGTGGCCAAGCAGAGTGCGCAAGGCATGTCTGTAGCCATCATTACCACCCTCCTGCTTATCCCCCTGGTGCTGGTCATTGCCATTGGGGTGTTCCTACGTTGGAGGAAGACCAGGATGTACAGAGGTGGGCCTCTCTTCCCCATCATTTTACCCCCTTAGCCACCTAAGTTAGCGGTCCCCCTTAGCCACCTGAGTTAGCGGTCCCCCTTAGCCACCTGAGTTAGCGGTCCCCCTTAGCCACCTGAGTTAGCGGTCCCCCTTAGCCACCTAGCATGCTCTACCCAACACCACTGGCAGTCATCTGACGTAAAGCCTTATTTCTATCAGTGTCAATTTTAATTGCAGAATGAAAAATATAAATTCTTGCACTTTTTGTTTTGCCTTAGATGACAGCGAAGTGAAATTGGAGCCCAGCTCCTCTGGGGGATTACTGGAAAAAATTAGGGGTAAGTGAGCTGATTACATATTTAATCAGACGTTCAGCAAAGAGAATTTGTGCAATCGTTCGTTTTTGTGTTGGGCGACCTTAACGATATGGAACTTAGTATCAGTTGGAAAGAGAAGGGAAAATCACTGCCCTGGTCATCTTTCAGACAAAATATACTGAAAGCTACAATAGAGTGAAATGAGGAGGGCAGGGCAGCCATAGTCATAATGAGGATAGGGATTAAAGAGGGTCAGCAAAACGTTTCACATTTATCTGCCTTTTTTGGAAGATTAACATACAAATTCAGGGAAGGATGACAGCAATGTACAATGAAATGGGTTGTAATGCTAGAACATAATTTAAAAAAGTGACTGGGGAGGAAAAACGTTTAGTACTTTTCTTTGTTGCATTTTATGAATGGGTTGGCTGAAAAAAATCAAGAAACTAGAAGCCATTTTTAAAAGATCACAAGACTCTCGTAGCTAGAAGCCAGCTGAGGCACGCTAGCTGGTCTGCCTCATTTTATTATATTTTATTTCTGAATAAAGATGAAGGCAGAGTTGAGGCAGAACTGCTGCTCTTCCCAAGCGCAGCCCACATCTGAGTCACGTCATCTGTCGGTTATGACCACAAATCCCCTGGTGGAGTGAAGCATACGTCACCCAGGGTGTCTCAGGGGGCTGCAGGCTTCTGTACTGCCCAGGGCCCTAAGTGACCCAAGCTCTGCTTTCTGTGGGCTGCCAAGGGGTCAGGGAGGAACTGGATAGGAGTGTTTTAAATGCTGTATGACTGTGTGATGTATTGAAATTAAACTAATACAGTATTGATCGTGACGCCAGATTGTGGGGTGTGGTGGAAATGTCAGGGGAGCCGCGAGTGAGGCTTGTTGTCCATGTCTGAGCGTGAAATCGATCTGCGGCAGCCGTCTGCATGACCTTCCCTGGCTTGTACTGCTCACTGAAGTGTCTCCCAGAGCAGAGTATGCATCCTTGGGGGCCGGGGGGTGCCGCAGCTGTCCAGGCCGCATGCCGCGGGGGAGGCCGCAGGCTGGCTCACCTCCAGTGGATGATCTCTTCAGACTGCCCAGAGTGATCCCTTCAGTTTTAGCATCGCGTGGCCTGTGACGCTGGTGACCTGATGTGGCTGAAAAGGCACTGCCACCGTCTGGGTGGAGGACTTGCAGCCCTCTCTTTTGGACACCTGATATCTGATCGACCTCGACGGCTGTAGTAGATATCCTTCATCTGCTACCTCCACCCCCACTGGGCTCCCTTGGATCAGGCACATGGAGCCCATGGTGACTCGTAGTGTAACCTAGACTAAGGCTCATAATCTCGTGAACAAGGTTATCGTGGTATCTGCCGGAATTTGGTAGGCATGTAAGTGGGCTGCTCCTCTCTCAGGAAAACAAAACAAAAAAACATTTTTTCCTGGGGTTTTGTGTCATAACTCATTTCTTTTGTACTCTCCCTGCCTAATCATTACACCTGTTTTTTAGGTTGAGTAGTCCACGCCATAGCTAAACTCTGGTCAATTCAGGCATAATTGCAGTAGGTCCCAGTAGCCCTGCACGCCTCAGTGATCTGACCTTGGGGGTTCCGCAGTAATGTTGCAGCGGGAAGCCTGAGTCCCTCTAGAATTGAGTCTCAAAAAAGACTCTGGGAGCCAGTGGCTCTACATTGTGAAAACAGCAGACGTGTCGGTCTTGGCGCTGGAGCGGAATGAAAGGGCCTTTCAGTGCTGCATCCCCTCTTTCGGCTGTCTGCTCTACACAAGAACTTCCCCTGAAAGTGCCTCCTTTGCTGTGACAGATGGTCCAACCTCCGCGGGTCCAGGCTGTGGTGAGGGTGCACGCACGGGTCAGCACTATCCTGTAGAAATGTTTCATCGCACTTGTGCATAGGAATTAAATGTCTCAAAGTATGGAAAAACTGCCCTCTTGGGCAAAATCCATCCCTTCATTCCAGAAGCCTAGGTTCTACTGCTAAACACTACTGTTTTTTTTTTTTTGGTTTAGCTGAGTAGGGAAGAACAGCTGCCCGATATTAGACGCAGCATAAAGTAAATGGGGAGAATTCTGAAGATGGTCCGCTTTGATAGTGTGGGTTTAGTCAATAAATGCAGATCTCCAGAACTTTCACTTGCATTCAACTATGGATTTATCTTGACTTGACAGCAGCATCACAGATGCAAGTATGTGACTTACAGAGTTGGGTCCAGATTCAGGTCTAGACCGGGATTTTTTTTCAGCCAACCAGTTGAGTACTCTGTGACTGTGACTCTTTATGCTCAACTGGCTGGTTGAAACGAAATCTTGGTCTGGATTTTTACTGTCTGGACCTGAATTACCCAACTCTGGTGACTTATCATAATGCTGTGGACATTTTGTAATAGATAATATTATTGTGGATCTGCACGGATTGCTCAGTGGAAAGCCACCTCACCCCACCCCTGTGTGTGTGTGCGTGTGCATGTGCGTGTGCATGTGCGTGTGCGTGCGCGTGCGTGCGTGCACGTGTGTGCGTGGAGTTTCCATCTTCTTTCCATGTCACATTGATTCCCTCCCTCAGTCGAAGGACATGGTGTCAGGTTCATTGGCATCTCTACCATGGCTGTGGTGTCTGATTGTGTGTGTTTGTGCCCTGTGATGGACTGGCATCCCATCCAGGGTGTCCCCTTGACTCGCTCCCTGTGCTTCCTGCGATAGGCTGCAGGCCCCCTGCAGGCTTGCCCTGAATAAATGGTAGGAGGGCAGTATGACTCGGTAATAACTCTCAGAAGTCGAATGCAGCCCCATCATGTTGTCCAGATGGCTGTGTGAAGGCAAACATTCAGATTATGAATTTCCAGCTTTTGCCTGGTATGACGTCACCTTGACATTTTGAGCCAAATCACGAACTCACACATCCGAATTAACAAAGGTCGCCTTGGTTTTATCTACAGATTAGTCACCCTGGTAAACAGAGACCTCTCTTTGTAGACCATATATAGGAATTATATTCTTTAAAATGCTTTTTGAATTTTTTTTTTGCCTTCTTTCAGTACTGATTGAGATCTCAAGGTCTCAGCACATTTTGACTGTTCTGAGCTAATATATGAGACCAGACATGATTTTGGCAATAAGCAAACATTCATCATCCATTTTCCATAAGCGCTTACAGGATTACAATTGGGCCTTGAGCCCATCCCAGGAAGCAGAGCACAAGGATAGGGACACTATGAACAGGACGCCAGTACACCACAGGGTGTACAGACACACACCCTTGGACATCTTACAGACGATTTACAGTCATTGCTTCACCAAACTGCATGTTTTTGGGTTGCAGTAGTATATGGAGGAAACCAAAAGTCTGAGAGAATGTACGAAATCCTCACATACAGCACTTGGCCCATCACTCAGCCCACCATAAAACGACTTATGCGGGGGTGTATATGGAAAACTGATCGGCCCTAGAGTGCCCCCTCCCTGTCACTCACTGATTCAAAACACATCATTGACTAATAAGGTTAGCCCCTCTTATGCCCCACCTTAGGATATCCTTCAATCACCCTTGCTTATATAAAGAATTTATGGCTCAGGAGGACCTTCAATTTATTGTCCAGAAAAATAAAATCGTAAAACACCATCGTCCATTTTTATCGCACACAGGAAAAGCCGGTGGAGGCCTGAACTTGGGCAACTTCTTTGCGAGTCACAGGGGCTACAGCCGCAAAGGCTTCGACCGGCTGAGCACCGAGGGCAGTGATCAGGAGAAGGATGATGAGGACGCCACCGACTCGGAGAACGAGGAGTACTCAGCCCCGCCCCCTGCCGCCTCTGCCTCTGCCTCCTAGGGGCACGCTGGCCCCCGCCCGGCCCCCGCCGCCCGGCCCAGCGACAGCCCGGCTGTTAATGCTGCCCGACCTTCTTGCTCATGCGTTCAGGATGTATTTTAATTGTATATGTAATTGTTCGTATTTGGCTGCCAATTTTTAATTTATTTGCGCAAAATTCCTTCATGGAGAACTATGACCACCACTTTATAAGATAACGGGGCCAGATTTTAAAAAAAGAAAATGGTTATATCACAGGATTAACAAGATATTTTAGCCTAACGGGGAGATTGGGTTTTCGTTTTTCTTGTTAACAGCTGAAGTAGAATTTCTTCCAGAAACATGAGTTAAATGGCATTTTTAAGTTTCCAGGTTAATGATTGTTCTTTTGTTGACCACTTTTATCTGTGCCTTTTAAATTATGTATGCCGCCTTCTGCAGAACCTGTTATGAAAGATGTGCCACATTTCAGAAAGAGCTGCTAATGTCACCTGTATTTTCAAATTCATTATTGCATTTGTTGAAAAGAGATTATAATTATATTTATCATGTATCTAAACTGTATTTACTCAATTTTCCAAGCAGATGTGAGATGTGTCTGATATTTATTGTGACATACTGAGGTTTTATGGTCAGAACACTATTTTCAGTAACAATGTTATTTGTGTAATAAAGTGTCTGCAAAGCATTGAATGTGCTCCTGGCATCTTTGACAAAGTTCATGTGTTTTCATTGTTGTAATGCAATTGATATTTTGTCCCCAAAAGAACACCTACATATCTTCTGAGGGGCACTGGAAGACCAGTCCTAGATCCACATCCATCCATCCATCTACAGACTGAACAAGTGGTGGGCATGTAACCCCCAGCCCTGTAGGCATGAGGCCTTAGTATTACGAACTGAGCTACAACAGCAGTATTTTTTTTTAAAAACAAAAAACAAATATAGCCTTGAATAGAGGATCTTCATCATTGGGAAAGAGATCCATTGATCAGTTGCATCATGTTTGAAAACAACCATCAGTCTTACAGCTGTCCATCCAGGGAAAAGTTACTGGAGCCTCTACTGCAGGCAGCACCGGCCAAAAGGCAGCAGTGCACTCCAGCCAAAAGGCAGCAGTGCACTCCGGATAGGATGCTAGTCCGTCACAAGGCGAACGCACTGTTGGCACTTTAGAGACACGTTCATCAAAATCCATGTCTTTGGACTGTGGAAGGAAACCTGCAGGATACAGAGACAATGTCCAAACTCCACGCACACGTACTCATTCATAACACATTTCATTTAGAGAGCAAACCGCAAGTTCTGCTTCAAATAATTGTAAAAAGAAATTACCAAGAATAATTTCACCTTGATCATCATCAGCATTGCTCTGTGAGCAAAGTGGTTGCTGTTCCGCTGATGGTTATAATTTCAGATGAGCATCCATCCATTCATTCATGCATCCATCTTCTAACTGCTTATTCTAGTCAGGGTTGTGAGATGCATGAAGATGTTAAATCTAAACGGTCTGACTCCATAAAAATAAGCAGCAGAATCACGTAAAATGGAGATGGACCTCGGAGCCAGAATAATTTTCATTAGTAGTTGTGGTTTGAAGGACATCTAGGGGTAGAATCTGGTACTCAATGCTTATAGACTATTACATAGGTTTTTAAAAAATATTTTATTTATATTTGCATGCATAATACTAATTGTGGTCCACATTTTAAATAATCAGGATTGTATTGATCATTAAGTGTTTTATATTAGTATTTAGGAAACCAGACTTGTATTTATACTTTTGAAGGAGTATCCAAACTACTTATGCATTTTAAAAGCAATTTAAATAATTTGTTGTGCGTGTAGTCATATGGTTTCATTACTTTGTGTAAGACAGAAAAGCATCCATCTTCTATAACTGTTAATCTACTATGTGCTAGTCTGGCTCCTCAGTCAGAATTCACTTTATTGGCCAGGTACAACTGGAATTTGTTCTGGCAGTATTGGTGAAAACATTCTCAGACAACATAGAACATAAGTTATGAAAAAGAGTATAAATCAAAATAAGATGCTAAAGTAATGCAAACAGTGTGCAGCTGTACAATTACTAACAATACATACACACTTAAAGTTAAAGGAGATATATGGACTACTGAAATGTAAAATATATAAAATGTAAAAATATATGATGCGCAGCAGAATAGACCAATGAAAAAGATGTGTCCCAGGAAATACAAGACATTGAGGCAGGGAAAAAATGTTTCGAAGTGCAATTAAGTTTGGAGTGAAAAATCACAGACGTTTTTAAAAAATTAAAGCAAAACCAAGGTGACAGAAAAATGTAACCCTTCTGTTATTTGTGATACGGTTCAAGTTTGGTATACTGTTACAAGGAATGAAAGACACCCTTTAGTGAAACTAACAGCAGAGAACATATTATTTATCAGCCTTCTGGTTGTCAGGGAGACACTGCGCAGTGAAAGCACTTACTCAAGGATTCAGCTTTATCATTCATCTATCTCCCAACTGCTTTTCCAGAACAGGGCCATGGGTCAGCATATTCAGCTATGCAATTTTCTTGTCTGGCAAAGCCCAATAATCATTGCTTCTGAACCTTTCAACTTAGAGCAGAGGGCTGAATTGCTTAGAATAATGAAATTGCACATGATACAAATTTAAGATAAAAATGTCCTAAATCCAGACAGCCTTAATACACCTTGATTAGGAGTGCAGCCAAAATGGCAGATTTGAAATACAGATGTCAAGGGTGGGATGAAAAATTAATTTGACCACTTAAAGAAACTGACTCCAGAAGCCAATCCCCTTTACCTCGTCTTATTTAGGGCTGAAAAAGGAGGGAAAACAGTTTCTTCACTGTAGGCCCATAAGCAGGGACGTACTGTGAAGCTTTGTAGTCCCATTGCTGCCCAAGATAATCTGGGAACATTGCAGCCCTACTCCACACAATAAGTCTGAGGAACCAGAGACCTCAATCAGCTAGACCTTTCTGCCCTAACATTGTGTCATTGTACAGTCCCCTACAGTCCAAGGAGAAGCTAGACATTATGGGCCCCCTGACAAAATGTCACTTTGGGGGGCCACGACCCCCTTTCATTATACAATTTATCTATTCAAGGGCCCCTGTAAAGTGCTGGACCCCCTGAATCTGTCACAGTCTCCATGTCCCTCCAATGCCCCGGCCAACAGTCCTGCCGGGCAAAGCTCCAGATTACTATTTTCCTAAATCTTAAGTATCAAGTATGCAAATCCGGTGAGAATAGCGTTTCATACCTACAGTATGCTCTGCCTGATATTTTATGGCTCTGTATCTAGTCATACTATATAGATAGTAAATAAAAATCCAGCACCATTTAGGTGAGCTGAGATTCTGGAATACAGCACGTGGTAAATGTCAGCATTCTATCTTACTGCCTGCACATTGACCTCTTCTGCTTATAACGGTAAATCAAGTAAATTCAGCCGCCGTCGGCCATTTATGGATATTTAGCACTTCATAATGCATACAGAGTGTAATCATTAGGACACTGTTAAGAAGCTGATGTAAACAGTGTAGAGTGTAACCTTGTAACCTTCAGAGAATGCAGACCAATTACTGCTGTGCACGATGTGACTGAAAACAAATATGAATTAGCACCTTCTATTGGCTTAGAAGTTTCTGTATCTGTTTGCTATCTTATGTTAGCCTTTGATGCATGAATATGTACTTAATTAGTGCATTTTATCATATATTAGGAAGGCCCAGAATATTCCATTCTGTGGTATAAGCATTTCAGGACCACCTGTCACTCGTTACTTTTTAACAGTGAAACCTGGAAAGTACAGTGGTACCTCAGTTCTCGAACTCATTAGAACGCGAATTTCTTAAAAGTCGAACCAACCAGTTCGAAAAAAAAAATAAGTAGAACTCGATCTGAATCTCAGAAGTCAAACCGTGAACGCCGACCTAAGATAACTTGTACACGCGGGGAAATCAGTCACGCAGCACGTCTCTCAGCGGAAACAAAGGGTAACGCTTCAGTCTAAGCCTCACATTCGCTGTCATAGCACCGTGCATGTTTACACTAGCTGAATACATACAGACAGTAAAAATACATTTAGACAATGATAGACAGTAACAGTAATTGTTATTATATAATAAAATACATTTTAAAAGAAAGATTTCTTATTAATTATTTTTATATTAATAATAAACCATTAATACATTTAATTATAATAATATTGTCGTGCCAAGCGGAACGGAGACAAAGACGCAGACGTCAGGTATCGGGGAATGCAGGGTTTAATTACAGGTAAGACAGGCAAAACACAGACGGACAATACAATGACCGGGCTGGGGAAACAAACTGAAACGCGGACAAAATACAGAGGACTAATGGACAACAACCAGAAACAGCTAATCACACGGGGATTCCACACGGGGTTAACGAGGGGGCGTGGCACACGGAAGGAGCGGACGATCGGGGCAGGACGCATTGTTTGGATACATTTATTTTCTTACTTTACAAATTACTGTTTTGATAAATGTGCTTAGATGTGTTTAGTACAGTATATGCTCTTCTTGTTTTATCCGGTTCATTTTGTGTTTAAATGCTAAAAAAACATATTTAGATGTATTTTTGGGGGGCCAGGAAACAATTAAATGGTTTTCCATTATTTCTTATGGGGAAAATTCGATCACAACTCGAACTTTTTCGGATTCGATCCGAAGTTCTGAACGGATTAAATTCGAGTTCTGAGGTACCACTGTACTGCGCTTTCCCTCTGTAGTTCTGGCCAGGCTCTTAACCAAAACTATAGGGGAGACTGGGGACGGTTGCAACACTTTTTGCATTCCTCTCATTTACTCAGAGACTGTTTGGACTACACCAGCCAAATTTGTATACTATAAACTTACATCTGTCTGCTAATTACCCATAGTACTTGTAGTTAATTATATTTTACATATCCTGTACAATATTGATTTGAACTGAAGAAGTCAGATGTTGCAACCGTCCCCAACATTGGGGACGGTTGCAACACATATAAGGGACGGTTGCAACATGTTAAACATATATTAAATTTCAATAATTAACCTTTGCTTTTTCTCTGAACTTGCATAGTACTGTGTAAATCTACAATTATACAATAATATTAAAGTAGATTTTTATTCATATTGAAAGTTCTGTATTTTTATGTCACACGGGATTTTTTAAAAATGCATTTATTGTCCAAACATGGATCTGCTTTAAAACATGTAAAAAAAAATTGAATACAAAGTGAATTTAAAGTCACCCCAACAATTCTACTGGCTCTCGGGATAAATCTGCCAGTTACTAGAATTAACAGTATTTAAACATACATTTATTGTAGCCTACAATATTCAGAATATCAAATACAACTCAAATAAAGTTGCACAGATATTCCTAAACAGTGGCTAATCACCCTCATATAAAGTACCCCACATCTATACTGACTAACAGTAGAAATCTGCCAGTTAGAAGAACAATTTTGGGAACTGGCTTCCAGTGAACCTTTCTACAAACAACAAGAACAAAATAATGCAACTCTTTTAGTCAGATTCACTGTTGTGGCATGTGTACACATCACCTCCAGGTGTGCAGGCTTTATGTGCCCAGGATTTGCACATCCAGCACTGCAGCCACACTTCCCTGGATTTTGAATAACCTTCAAGACACACGATGCAGAAATTATCTTCGTCTTCAGATTCGTATTCTTCTCTGTTTCTCTTTGTTTTCTTTATACTTCTCTGCGTAGTTGTCTTTTTGTTATTCTTTTTTGCTTTCTGTTGCAGAGTTTTGTTTTTTTCCATCTCTAATGCCTCCTTCACAGGAGTGTCTGTGTATATCCCTATTAAATGGCCAAATTCCTGTGCATGTAAATCCTGCCTGCCCATTTTTAGGTGTTGCTGCCAGTGGCAGGGACACTCTGACAATGCCTGGGATATCATAAATTGTCATTGAAAATGTTAAAAAGTAATGACATGTAGTCTATTTCAATATGGCTGGTTGGCTTGGGGACGGTTGCAACAAGTTGTTGCAACCGTCCCTGACCTGCCAGCCATGACAGAACACCATATGCTAGCTATTCAAAGAGTCAGGGAAACATGCTAACAATACTTTTTAAAAGTCAACACCACAATGATTTGAACTAGGTATGTTTTAATTAATTAAAATAAAAGCTATGGACAGTAAGTCAAAAAAACAACTTGCAAAAAAAATTACTTTCATACCTTCAAAACAGTTATTTTTCAATAAATGCAGCAGCAGATGATGAAACTGTATAGTTTCTCTCTGGTGGAGAAAGGGCCTAACTGAGCATGTGCAGTATGAGTATCATCACTCTAGCGTGTTTCTAATTGGAGAAATAAGACTTGTTGCAACCGTCCCTTGTTGCAACCGTCCCCAGTCTCCCTACAAAGTAGCAATATCACCCCCATCACATTGTTCAAAACGACTAGGTAATAAAACAAATATTTGGCAGTTTTATCACACAGTTGCCAGGAATATCCGAGCCCTGGAAAGGGAAGCACAATGATGGCGAATGATCCAAAAAATGTTGCTTGATGATGCTTGGAAAACCCCTGTGACGAATATCCTGATAAGAGATATGGAAAGTGTATAAAAATTAGTGTAATTTGCAATGGGACACACTCCTGCAGGGTGTCCAGTCTTGGGTGAAACCTTGCTGTTACAATAAAGACTGAATCTGAAGATCTACATAACGGGCTCCTGAGTCCTGATTTGCAGGGAAAGAAAATACCACAACATAGGAAACCGACTTGAGGAGTCTATTTAAGACAATGTTAGTGAACCATTTGTTGAAGCAAGGTTGCCAACTCTAATGCATCTGGCGTGGCACTCACGACAAATCTGTATCACATTATAACCCTAAAATGATCTATATCAGAAGCAGTGGGGTATTTCGCAAACCCTACAGAGTATTTACAAGGTCATAAAACTATTGCATAGCCTACATGTATAAATGCGTGTGCATCTATTTGCGGACTTGTCTCGATTTGAAAATCTCACTCCAGTCAACTGACCAAAGTTGGAAACCCCGATGAAGATATTTAAAAACATTAGTTTTTTTTCCTCAAAAATATTAATAAAAAAAAAAAACAGGTTGCTCATAGATCTAATGGGCAAACATAGGAAGAAATTTACAAATATACATATACACAACTATAATTACAATATTTACATATCTTTCACAGAATCACACTAGAATGACCGTATGCATATTAAATATACATTCATGTGAGCACAGAGCAGAAACACGTCAAGTATGAGCAAAGCCGCACAGGCGGTAGGTACAGCCCGGAGCGGCAGCTAGCTGTAATCCGCCCCTCAGTGACGAAACATCCCGGCGGTGACGGTGGTTGCAGCTGCCGATTTTGAATGATAGTGAACCGGAGGAGCGGCGGCTCCCTCGCGGTGTCCCGGCACTACTGAGAGGCTACCGGGGGGCGGCGGCAGCGTCGGGAGGTCAGCGCACCGTAGATCGGAAGTCGGCGCACCTTGGTCATTTTAAAGGCAAGCGTGAGGGGATCGGAAGAGTGTAGCCTTGTTGTTGTCGGCTGAAGTTAAACCGGGGGTAGCGCCGGAGTGATTAGAGGCCGGGTCCGAGGCACCGGGCTTTTCCTTCAGTAAGGCGGACGAGGCAGCCACCGTCGCAGGGCTACGGGCTCAGTGGCTCCCGTGTAGACGGAGCCGTGAGTGTCGCGGTAGACGGGCCATGTGCTAGCGGACTGTTAGCCTGCCGGAGCCCGCGGGTTTTTTGGCAGGAAGTAGCCCGATAGCTAAACCGAGGAACGGCGCCATGCGATTCTGCAGCCGTGGTGATGCTGCAGTTTTTAACGTTGCGATAAACGCTGAAATAAAACGCATCCGCCGGCTTGCAGCCTTCGAGTAGAGGTGCACGGTGCCCGCCAGTGTGCTGCCGGCCAGGTTCAGAGCAGCTACAAAAATACTGCAGTGTGGGATGTTTCTGGAGTTTGCATACATGCAGGCAGCTAAATGCGAGGATTTTGCATGCATTAAAAGGGATGCGGAAACATCCCATGCAGAACATGCCCCATTAATGGTTTTAGGGGTAATTATCTTACGAACGCGTGTGAATGATTGTTTATATGATTATATATAGATGATGGAGGAAAGGCCAACACAGACGTTTTTTGCAGTGACCAGGAGACACTCAAGGATACAGTTTATACAAAATGATTAAATGATCTCTTTGGGTGATCTAGTTTAGGTTCAGATCGATAATAAGCTGTGGAAAGTCCAACGTGTTATTTGGGGAAATATCTTGAAAACGTATAAGCCTAGTGAGATCTGTCGTGATTAAGGACCTTACCAGAAAACTCAGTGTTATGAATCTAAAGTTTTAGGTGGGGCAAAAAGTCAGCTGAATCGCTCCAGTAAATTTCCTTGTTGTATAAATGGTTAAAATGGAATTACTCTGTGCAGAACTATGTTAGTTTCCCCTCTATTAGACAGTCTAAACATGATAATATGAGGGAATGAGTCTTGCTTATACATGCGTATTGACATACGCTTAATGTTGCACTGGTGTTTCTTTGTTCTTTCCTTGGTTTAGGTGTCATGTGTCACTTTAATTTCAATGCAGTTTGAGCTGTTTTTGTTTGCAGTGTCCTGCTTTCCCCTGAGCCCGTTCCAGTGCTGTTACTTAAGTAGACTTTCGAGATTCCGCCGCTTCTTTCTTTGCGCGTAGAATAAGCCGTTCGGAGATACCCGTGCTTTTGTGAGCCTGAGTCTGTGTGTGTCCGTGTACATTCACTCCACGCATATTATGCAGACGGATCCCACTATATTTATTGTGTTTGGGTGTCTCTGGCTTCTCGTGCTGCTCTCTGCACGTGTTGTTTTAACAATAGCCTCGTGCCTGATCCCTGCGGACCACCTACCCTTCTGCTTCTGTCGCAGGGCACACATGGTGGTCAGACAGGTGGCGACAGTTTCAGGAGGCTGCATTCCATCTCCTAACAGTCTGCCCCACAGAAATGCGTCTCTCTGTATTTGTCCTATTCTGTCTATCACCCTCATGCATTAATGCTTTATTCTGTCGTTTAGTTTGCTGTTTTGTAATCCTGAAGGTTGAATGGCGCTAGCACATGGCGATTTTGTAGTGTGTGTCAGAAAATTACTCCATGTTTAGGCTGGGAATGCTTCCAGATTTTAATGGATATGATTTTACCCACAGTGCAGTTGTAGACTTAATAAACTTGTTTGTCATTATAATATATTAAAAACCCTATAATAAATTTTACTTTTAGAATATGGAACTTGCATTCACAGCTTTTGATTCTTTCACCTATGAATGCATGAGGATGTACCCTTTGTAAATTACTTATGCAAAGACGTGTCCACATCCAACACTTCACTGAGGGCATGACAAGATGGTGAAGAATTCACACTTAGTTTTGGAAGGCTTATATTCAAAATGTTGCACCATGCCTCCCTGCCATGTCGGTGTCATGTTATACTAACTGACTTCAGCCTTGTTATATTTGAAAGTCGTCTGTTATGGGTTGCAGAGATGGTTGAAATGTTTTGGACGGCCAGAAGATTGATGTTGCATAACTGCAGTGCATTTGGTCACACATAATATATCCCACAGAAAACTTTGCAGGCACGACTGAAGCATGTTTGGGGACTGAAGCTGTGGTTGCTTCATAAGGATGTTTCATGGCACAATTGGTTAAATTTTTAATTTGACTTGCAGGAGGCAGACCACTTGACATTAACGCGGCATTATTGCCAGTGAATGTTTCAGCAAAGAGGGTCGATTTCTATGTTAGTTAATGAATGCATATTTTACTCAAGAATATTGTAAGCACAGAGGTGGTCTCATATAATTTAATTCAACTCACCTGCTGAATAACAGTGAATGACACAGCTGTCAAACCATAAATTATTTATTTCTACAAATGAATAATTTAACATTAAAATGTTTCTTCTCCAAGCGCTAACTGGGAGGAACATAAAGAGAGCACACTCATAATTAAATCCCACACTGGTAATTAAATCCCAAAACAATGTTGTATTATAGCCTCGTGTTGTTTTCAATCAGACTGAGCTGAGTTACTGTAACCTCTGTCCATGCTTGAACACCCTCTGTGATCTTGTGAGCTTGTTTGCAGATGTGAGCACATTTGTTTGTAGCTAGGTTATTGTTGGGATCTTCCATTATGTGAATGTGAGGGGGAGATGGGGGGGTTTAGCAGCTTATCCCTTTGGTTTGCCCAAAGGAGTGAGATGGTCCTGTGGTCTTGCTTTAAAAAGAGCACCTGATCAGATTCTTATTTTGTATATTTGCTGGAGATGGGCCCACGTGTGAGACTCGATTTCTGCGCACAGCTCTCACAGAACCTCCTGAAAGTGAGGGTGGATTAGCCTAATCCTGTGATGAGTCTGCATACATATTACCCCACAGTGCAGAGCCAAACAGTGCAGCATTTCCTCTGTGGCCTCAATGTCCAGTCAGAGGCAGGTGACCTTGTCTCTTCGCTGTGTTTTGTAGCTCCCTGTGAAGATGGCGGATGTGTCCTTTAGCTCAAAAATACATCTAAGGAACTTTTGTGACACTCCAGCCTACTTACATTTTGCAGCTAAAAATTGTCTTTAGTGTAGGTTTTTTAATCCTAAAACACTTTGTGATGTTTGTGTTGTCACGCGCTTCTGTTATAGCCGTATGTTCTGTAAAATGTTATCCGTCCATCTATCCATCCATCTGTTTTTGATGGCCACTTGTCCAGTAGAGGGTTGTGGTGAATCCATGCTGAACTGGTGGGGATTTTTTGTAACGGAATAGAACCATGTGACTGGGTTTTCTGTGGAAGCAAAATAATTACAAGAAAGACTGTATTAGCATTAATGAATGCATAATAACCTTCATTGAGAAATGGTCTACGAAACCCAAGTTATAGGCCGTGAAATATATTTTTTAAATATATTTTTTGAATAAATTTAGAATATGAAATATGTGATGGAAACGGGGTGCATTTTCTGTTAGTATTTCACCATTCTTAATTTAGTGCCAGGAGTAAATGAATTTATCCTTACTGATGTGCAGAACTTAAAATAGAAGGGTCTGGTTCAAGCAGATAAATTTAAGGTGAAAATATAGCGTACCATAATTTCATCGGAAAAATAGTCACAGGGCAGGAGTAGCGGAGGCATGTGCTAAAGAGGCTAATCGTCACGAGTGTCATTTTTATTGTCATGCTGATAAGTCTGATTGCCTGGGGAATGACCCACTTAACTCCCGGCATTTCCTGTCCGTGACATCGCAGTCGGCGTCTCTGCTGCCGGGACTATCGGTTACACCACAGGACGTGCGATCCGGCATGCAAATCCGACCCCAAATAGATCTTGGATGAGTTGATAGTGCCGTGAGAACAGGTGCCACAAATAGCAGAGCGCTAGTAGCTAAACAAAGGCTGGTAGCCAGTGGGGTGGCTGTCTTACTGAGTGTGTGTTTTGTAATACCAATAGTAAAGGCAGCTGACAAGGAAAAGCCTGCGTATTATCTGTTGTTTTGATAGAAATGAAGGCAATGCTAGTCACATTTGTCTTTCCCAAAATTCATTGCTTTTGTTACATGTTGGCTGTCATTTTCTGGGCTGAGAATCTCGTTTCAGCATGGTAGATGCTGATGAGTAGATGTTTGAGTGATGTGGGGCAATGCGAAACGCTCTGCTCTGCAGGTTTTAGGGGCAGGATTTACATCTTTACATTTTAATTTACGTACCATATGCTTTTATCCAAAGGGATGTACATTTTTTTGAGCCAGGAGGGTCTATTTCAGGAGCGACTGAGGTTTAAGGGACTTACTCAAGAGCCCAATGGTGGAATAAACTACACATCCTGGGATTTGAGGATTCATGCAGGATTCATGGCTTGAAAAGAGAGTACCGGCCCCAAGCAGCTGTGTGTGTTAATTTGACTTGTCTGTGAAGCGTTCCAGCTGTGAAGTGGAAATCAGACGGTGCAGCGCTCCAGTGCGTATGATGACCTTAGACACTCATCCGTTTTTGAAAATCATGGTGCCCAAGCATCAATTCACACTGTGAGGGAGAGAAATAACAGCTTTGGCTGGTCGAAGTTCATCTCCCCAGCCAAGTAATGCCTCCTGACATTTTCCACTTGTGCACCATCCTTACTGAAAGAGGTGTCTCTTATAATGAGAGCGCTCTGCACTGCTGGGCGGAGCAGATATTGCCAAAAAGCTATTTTTTAGGGCATGAGGATGAAATTACCCATCCTATCCCTGTCTCAGTCCTGTGGAACATATTTATCTGTCCTGGATGAAGTCTCGCTTCCCCAGGAAATCAGTAAGACTCCACGCGGAGGATCTGTGGCACGTTGCGGTGGTTTGAGAGCACAAGCCGCGTGTGGCCCACAGCAGGCCGTTCGGGCGCCTTCTCCCGTTCGCTTTACATTCCTGCCCCCTGAGCTGAGGATTCTCACTTAGGCTTTTCATTTATCACTATAAAGCTTTGTTTTTCTCAGAATGGTTTGTGGCATTTCATCCTGCCTGATGAAAAGCCATTTTTCTATAAATTGTGAATGTCTGTAAACCTGCTCTTTCGGCCTTGTTCACTCATGTTTTTTGTTGGCGTTGGAATTTCGAAATGTCCGGCGAGGATTATCTTTGGTCTGTTTTGTGATGAGGGAGGTTTTGGACTTTAGACCCATGTGTCAATATTGGCCCAAATCGGACCAGGCGCCAGTATCACTGCTGGTGGGTGGTGGCATTGCAGACACTGGTATAAACAGGCAGGCTTTCACTGTAAGCACCCAGCCTATCCATTACACTTTACGGTAGCTCATGTGATGGTATCCCCTAGCAGTATAGCATAGGGATCTATGCCCTGTCTGCTGGGGGCTGTGTCTGAGAGTGGAAGGTCGTTGGTTCTAATCCCAAGGTATGCAGAGTGATTAGACTGTTGGGCCCTTGATTGAGGCCCTTAACTCTGAATAGCTCCAGGGACTCCAGGTCTGATCCTGCTTTCTCTCAAAAATGTATGTCACTGGATAAAATTGACCGCTAAATAAATACATTGTAAGTACCTGGAAAATGGTGATCAGTCTTTTAATCTTGGGAATCATCGCCGAGTCATGAGTTGAAATATACTACCTGGTATTTCAGTGTCTAAATCCGCTGCTCCAGTGTGTGTCTGCCTCTCCGTCCCGAGTGCCCTAATAGGTGTACGAGATCACTGAAGTGTGTCCCTCTTTTTTTCGCAGGAGAGAACGTCATGGCGGACGCCCATGGGCAAAGGTCGGGGGGCCTGTCTCGGCTCTGGAGCCGCCGGCTGTGAGCGCTCCGCCTCAGGGAGTATGTTCTGGGGCTGAGGCCGTTTCCTCGGGGCCTTTCTTTAATCTGGTCTCCATTCAGCTGACTTGATTGAATTCCAAGCTGTCGACGGGGGAGGGGGCCTGGCTGGCCTGCCCGACCCGCGGCAGACATGTCTGTGGGCGAGACGGATGCGGACCACCCTCGCTTCTTCGTCGGGTGCGACGATGGCGAGGGCGACGAACTACTGGACCCGGGGAGGCTCGTGGGATACGACTGCTTGTACGAGAACGAGGAGGAGGACGAGGATGAGGAGTACGACTCGGTAAGCAGCCCTGCAGGGTCACTAGCGTGACTGGCATGTTTGAGGTTACCGTGGTTACCGGAATTACCAGGGTTACTGGTTTTGAGTTTGCTGCCCTCTTATGAATCCATCCAATCATAGCTTTTCAGTTCCAGCAGGCCGCCAGGCATCATTAGTGTTAAACACCATCACAGTTTCGTACCGGAAGTGTCTTTGCTGCTTAAATGAGTCTGATTACAGTAAAATCAGATAGACTTCAATGTGCCTGGGCTGCTGACTGTCTGCTGCTCTGGTCATTTAGTCAAAATGAGCCACTTGGATAAGAAACAGGAGAGAGATCAAAAACTGTGCATCATCATCATCACAGTCATCATCGTCATCAAAGTTCATTACAGGTCAAACAACATGTAAGAACCAAAAGACTGTATTGTTTGTCTGATCGATAACATTTTAAGAAGTTTTTTTTTAATTGTCATCACAAACACTAAACAATGAAAGGAAACCAGTTAAACACCAAAATGAATCAATGTGTCCTTTAATCAAAACGCACTCAAGTGATTTTGTTGTGCGATCAGCGTAATGGATTAAACCTAAAACCTACGAAGCCCTAGAGATCACGTCAGTGTCTCCAGTGCCTCCTCAAAGTCTAACCTCACATTTTGTTTGCGCTGCTTTTAATAAAACAGTATATTTACGTGATCGCTGGGCCTGTAATTTTTATTATAAAAACAATTATGGATCTGACCGTAAGCAGTGATCCCATTTTGGCTGCAGCGAGGATAATGGACGACCAGGAAACCAGAGCATTTCTGCGTTTGCACAGACAGAGAAATGCTTGTCTGTTTGTTGTATTATTATTTTTATTTTTGTTTGTTCCCATGAATGAAACATTTTACTCCCATTCAAAGTATTATTGGGTATTGTGGTAGTAGTAGTAGCAGCATCAATGGTGTGTGTTTGTGGTTTTGGAGATTCTAGAAAAATCCTGTTTCTCATTTCTCCTCTGTCTGCTGATAACGTTTGCCATATGATTGACCAATGAAAAGATGTTTTGCAAAGTCATCCATTTAACTTTATGGTTGTACTAGGTCACATTAGAATTCATGGTGGCTATTTGTATGGATTATTTTATATCGCTAATTTATTTTACAAAGTGGTGTCTGAGGAAAAGCTCCTGAAATAATGTTTTTCTTTGGAAAACATCAGTTTCCCTTTTTCTTTATTTTTATTCATGTATAAATCACCTTAAGAGGACCAGTAAATAATACCGGTCAACAGCTGTTGTTGGCTTTGGGTAATTAACCAGCAGCTGCCTGAAATACCTCCAAGCACTGTAAGGTGAGGTCATAATCCCCGCCCCTTTGCCCCCTTGTGCTGCACAGCCCCCGGAGAGGCAGATCGTGGTGGGCATCTGCGCCATGTCCAAGAAATCCAAGTCGAAGCCCATGAAGGAGATCCTGGAGAGACTGTGCCTCTTCAAATACATCACTGTGGTGATCTTCGAGGAGGATGTCATCCTGAACGAGCCGGTGGAGAATTGGCCGCTCTGCGACTGCCTCATCTCCTTCCACTCCAAAGGCGAGTCTGCACCTCTGAGGTCATTTACATGCCGCAGACACTTTTGTCTAAAGAGATGAGTGAGTGTCTGTGAGCAGGACCAGCCAGTGTCCCTGGAGGAAATGGGTGTTAAGGGCCTGAGAGCCACACTAGTACTGTGCTGAGAGTATTTGAGGGGAAGGCGTTCAAAGCCTTTGACACGGACATTAAAGGGGCGCTCCGTACCTTTAAGGAGAAGCACCTTAAATAGTTCGGTCAAAAGGGGCAGGCAGATAGGCTCCTCCTCCTCACCCTCTGCATGTTGCCCCACAGGATTTTCGCTGGCTACCTTCTGGCCATGAGCACAGACTCACAAACTGCCTGAAATTAAATATTTTTATATCCCATATTCGCTGCCTCGTGTCCAAGGTTTTATGGGGTAGGCTCTGGGATTAACATAATCCTATGCTGGATAAATGATCATAATAGATGCTGGGATGGAACGAATGATGGATAATGAACATGCATAATAATTATTAGCATATTACACAATATTGTTAGAAATTATGTTCGCTGTTCACATGAGGCTCAGCTTGTTTAATTTCATCAAGAAAGCATTTAATGTTCTGCGTAGACCATGCTGTGTTGTAAAGGCCGTCCTGACACATTCTGGCCACATTCTCATAATCTAAAAAGCCAGCCGACCGTTTTATACCACGGCTGCAGAAGTAAACAGGCCCGCCGAACCCGGCACTGCCAAGCAGCAATAGATCAGAACAAAGCGTGTGTCGGCAGTGTTATCTGGCAATCATCAAGCGCTGTCATGCATCTTGATGTCGCGCTGAATATTAATGTCACGGGTGGGTGATGACCTCATACAAGCAGGTGGCTTTTGGTGAGATTGATCTCTAAATAGCATCAGTCAGCCGGTGGGCAGTCATTCTGGCATTAATTTGGAGTTTATTAATGTTAGCCCTGCTGCAGCCTATCCCCAGGGTTGTGGGTTTGCATCCCAGCCCTGTGTGTGAGTGGAGCATGCATGTTCTGTCCCTTCATGGGTTTCCTCCAGGTACGGACACTAGAGCAGACTGGCACCTCTGCGGTTCCGATAGCGCGTCTGTGCTTCTGTATTGGACTCGAATCAGGATTGATATGTAAATCTGGCTTGACACTGTGTTTAGATAGATAAAGTAAATTAAGGCTGTAAAAAGGGTGTGTAGAAGGTAATGTATGAAGACTGTTCAGAAGACTGTGTGAAAGGCAGTACAGAAAGTGTGCATAGTAGGCGGTGTGCAAATGGCAGGTATGTATATACATGAAAACAAACATTGATGTGTGAAATTACTATAAATATACCAAGTGCAGAATATCTCTGGATGTTGTCGGTGCATCTACAGTGTTGCTTTCTTCCCCCGTGTCCCTGTACTAGATAAGCAGAAGGATGGCTGGCTGGCTGGTGTGCTGGATGGATGGATGGATGGATGGATTTATTTATTTTCTTTCTCACTGTCCAGGGTTTCCATTAGACAAAGCTGTGGCCTATGAAAATCTCAGAAACCCATTTGTCATCAATGATCTGGATCTTCAGTACTGCATCCAGGACAGGTGAGTGACCTGTAGGAGCCTGGCCATGAGCCTGGCCATGAGCCTGGCCATGAGCCTGGCCATGAGCCTGGTCATGAGCCTGGTCATGAGCCTGGTCATGAGCCTGGTCATGAGCCCGAGTCTCTGTGTCATTGTGGAAACACACGCAGTGCTGGGACTTAAATTGTGAGCCCTTGTGATGCTGTATCCATGCAGGAGAGAGGTGTATTGCATCCTGAAGGCGGAGGGCATCCAGCTTCCACGATACGCCGTCCTGAATCGAGACCCCGCCAGGCCAGAGGGTGAGCGAATCCTGTAACCTTTACCTCCTCTACAGTGCCACTGTAATGGACATCAGCCTTGGAGATACCCTAGGAGACCACATCTACCATTTTAATTTAATAACAGAATTTCCATTAAAAAACTCTCCCACTGTGCTTGGGTGACAAGCAAATTACTTTTAAATCTATGCTGTATCAGTGCCTTCTAATTCAAATCAAATCAAATCAAAGTTTATTTATCGAATGCACAATCATACAGCAAGCGCAAGTAATAAAGTGCATATTTACAGATCTGTGTTTTCTTGCTTGCTGTTCTATAAGGTGGGTTGTAATTCTGAAAATTAGCTTGGAATCTGAGTAAAGCAACATATTTGGTTGCGTATTTCCAGTGCATTTGTTTCCCTTTTCTTGTAAATGACTCTTGTTCAGTTAAGCAGGAGGCTGGGCTTCGCCTCTGGAATCTCGCTGCCCTACACGCCTGCTTTGTGTTCCGGGTGCCTGGCGCCGAGCGTTAAGGCTGCAGGCTTCCCTCCCTTTGGAGTGTTAGCTGATTAGTAAACGCTCACTGGCCTGAATCGCTGACCCAGCCTTGTGGTTAGTTCTCACATGTCTCAATGTGCCCCCCCCCCCCCCCCTTCTAAATGTGTGTACATTTTTTAGCGGTTTTGGCATTGCGCCCAAACCACACCCTCAGCCCACTAGTGGCCAGAACCTTTCAGATTTCGTTTTATTGCTGTAGCTGCTGGGGGGGGGGAGGGGGTGTCAGCAAAATGAGTAACTTCATTTCTGATGCTTTTAGTCTGTGTAACAGGTTTTGCTACTTTCTAGAGCTACAGTGTTAGTTGTTGGATGACAGATAACACTCACCTTGTTTTTCCAGTGTTCCAAATCTTAACACTTGGGCAGAAGTCTCCATGTCTGTGATGAGGTAAACTAGAGGTGGATGAGACCAAAGGCTCTGATCACTTCTGAGATTTCTCCCGTCATCCGCTCTAACAAATGCTTTTCAAAGTGGTAAATCACTTCAGCCAGATTAGTGAGGGGGTTTCCTGTACAGCCATAGAACAAGATCTGTGTTTGCTCTTCTGATTTGACACACAGCTCTGAAAATGTAAGAGAACTGGTAACATTTATGTGCGTGTGTGCGTGTGTGCGTGTGTGCGTGCGTGCGTGCGTGCGTGTGTGCGTGCGTGTGCGTGCGTGTGCGTGCGTGTGCGCGCGTGCAGCTTCTCAAAGACAATACCCATCTCTATACCCTGACCTTTGACACCTAATGAGATGTTTGCTTTAGCTCTTTTATTTTTGATTGTTTTAGTTATATGTTCTTTTATATTGGTTTTAATTTAGATCTGTTATTTTTCTTTTTTTTTTTTTAAATTTTATTCTTATTTTGTGTTTTGTTTGATCTACTTATTTACTGTACAGCACTTCGGTCCTGTACAGGTTGTTTAAAGTGCTTTATAAATAAAGCTGGATTGGATTGGATTGGAATACGGAGCGTAAGGAGGTTAGACATCAGCACAATGTCAGTTAACTGGAGGACAAGGGAGACTTAAAGCAGCAATATTTGGTAGTTCTGCTTTTTCTTATTTTACAAAAATCTCATTTTGAGTTTGCAATTTTTGTTTTTGTTTTTCCAAGATTACTTTTTTAGATTTACCTTGTTTTATGAGTGCTGTTTACAGTGTGAAGTTACAAAGTGCTAATCTGTTCTTTGTCTGCACGGTGCTCTTGCAGTTAGTGGCTGTATTTTTTCATCTACATGTACATATTTCCCCCACATGGAGTCTGGCTGCTGTCCTGCCCGGTGACCCATTTTGTCTTCTGTAAACACCCTGTGGAATTAAGAGCGCGCTGATGTAATCTCTAATGAGCGTAATTATCCGTCTCTCCTGCATTTGGGAAGCGGAGGTTCGCCCGTCGCGTTTCACCGAAGCCCGGATTATTCCGATAGGCTCTTCAGTTTGTGTTTCGTCGACGGCCTGCAGGGAGGAGGTAAAGATGCTTTGGATGGCTGCCCTCAACACAGACGGTCCGGAGCTTTTTATTGCTTTCGGAGAGTGATGTAATCGGTGACGAAAATAGGGGGGCGTGCTTCTGTGAGGATCAGGTCAAAGGTCAGGCCATAAATTGGGCAAAATGTATGAAAATGCACATTCAGCAGGTCATGATCATAGCCATAGCGGGATGGGGGGGCTTAACAACAGAACATTGGGAACACGTGGATAATTAATGCACTAACCTTCACAATACGCAGTTGTCTAAGTGATCAAGCAGTCTGCTTGTGTTTTGATCTGATTTTAGACTAGTAGCTGTTGCCAGTGCCTCATGCCTTTGACATTAGAACTGAAAATAGACTATGACATTGCCCAGAATAGAATTCATTGTGACTAAACATTTTTAATGCCTCATGTTTTTATGTATAGTATAAGAAGCCCTCAGTGGTCTAAACTGCTGAGATTTCCTTTCTAGGTGTTCAGCATTCGTGGGTTGTTTTTAAATTCTGCTTCCTAGGGAATTTGAACAGAGTGCAGTTGTTGTTCGCTAAAGGAGATTGTCGGTTTTAATCAGATGCCTCAGCTAGATCTGTGTGGGAACTGCACGGTTGAGTGGGGCTGTAATTATTTTGCATGGAATTATTCTTCTGTATTGGATTCTACTCCGAAATCCTTCCAGATCTTCCAAAATCTTTACTTTTATTTAACCTTTCGCAAGTATATTGCATAGCAAATAATATTTTGTGTTTTTGTCTTGTCGCTTTTGCACTGTAATAATTAAACACTGTTAAGTTGTGTTTCCACACGTCTTGATTCAATGAACACAACCTTTGAAATATGTTCTCTCTGCCAGCAATGGGATTTGAACCCATGAAGTACGGGGTGGGGACATGGTGACAGAGGTCTGATGGGTGTCACCTCCCTTAGAATGCAGCCTGGTGGAAGGAGAGGACCACGTGGAGGTGAACGGGGAGGTCTTCCAGAAGCCGTTCGTAGAGAAGCCAGTTAGTGCTGAGGACCACAATGTTTACATCTACTACCCCACGTCGGCGGGCGGAGGCAGCCAGAGACTCTTTCGCAAGGTTTCTTTTTAAAGTCTATTTATGTTAATCCCACTTTTCATGTCAGGAACCTTATAAAAGGCATTTAAATGTATTAATCCAGATTAAATAGAGATTAAATGTGTACAGAGTTAAGTAACCAGTGCACAGAGTTCAGAACCAGAGAGTTAAAGTCCAGACCGGGATTTTGTTTCAACCAACCAGTTGAGCATAAAGAGTCACAGTTACAGAGTATTCAATTGCTTGGTTGAAACAAAATCCCGGTCTGGACTTACTCTCTGGACCTGAATTACCCAACTCTGGATCTGCAGGGGTTATAAATCGCTGCTATGTTTTGTAACGATTCTCTAAACGGATAATTTATTCAGCTCCTCTCATTGCTCTATACACTCACCTAAAGGATTATTAGGAACACCTGTTCAATTTCTCATTAATGCAATTATCTAATCAACCAATCACATGGCAGTTGCTTCAATGCATTTAGGGGTGTGGTCCTGGTCAAGACAATCTCCTGAACTCCAAACTGAATGTCAGAATGGGAAAGAAAGGTGATTTAAGCCATTTTGAGCGTGGCATGGTTGTTGGTGCCAGACCATTCTTGAGTATTTCACAATCTGCTCAGTTACTGGGATTTTCACGCACAACCATTTCTAGGGTTTACAAAGAATGGTGTGCAAAGGGAAAAACATCCAGTATGCGGCAGTCCTGTGGGCGAAAATGCCTTGTTGATGCTAGAGGTCAGAGGAGAATGGGCCGACTGATTCAAGCTGATAGAAGAGCAACTTTGACTGAAATAACCACTCGTTACAACCGAGGTATGCAGCAAAGCATTTGTGAAGCCACAACACGCACAACCTTGAGGCGGATGGGCTACAACAGCAGAAGACCCCACCGGGTACCACTCATCTCCACTACAAATAGGAAAAAGAGGCTACAATTTGCACGAGCTCACCAAAATTGGACAGTTGAAGACTGGAAAAATGTTGCCTGGTCTGATGAGTCTCGATTTCTGTTGAGACATTCAAATGGTAGAGTCAGAATTTGGCATAAACAGAATGAGACATGGATCCATCATGCCTTGTTACCACTGTGCAGGCTGCTGCTGGTGGTGTAATGGTGTGGGGGTTGTTTTCTTGGCACACTTTAGGCCCCTTAGTGCCAATTGGGCATCGTTTAAATGCCACGGCCTACCTGAGCATTGTTTCTGACCATGTCCATCCCTTTATGACCACCATGTACCCATCCTCTGATGGCTACATCCAGCAGGATAATGCACCATGTCACAAAGCTCGAATCATTTCAAATTGGTTTCTTGTACATGACAATGAGTTCACTGTACTAAAATGGCCCCCACAGTCACCAGATCTCAACCCAATAGAGCATCTTTGGGATGTGGTGGAACGGGAGCTTCATGCCCTGGATGTGCATCCCACAAATCTCCATAAACTGCAAGATGCTATCCTATCAATATGGGCCAACATTTCTAAAGAATGCTTTCAGCACCTTGTTGAATCAATGCCACGTAGAATTAAGGCAGCTCTGAAGGCGAAAGGGGTAAAACACCGTATTAGTATGGTGTTCCTAATAATCCTTTAGGTGAGTGTATATTGCTCTGTTTATTTTGCAGAGCACACCTGTTGATTAAGTAAAGTGTTTACATGTAGGACCAGAGTCCTTTTTGAGTTTACTGGGTGATTTGTGTTCTCTTGAATTTAATCTGCTATCTCTTATGATTCTGTCTTGCGTTTAATCGTAACTTATCTGTGGGCCCATTTGTCGTAGATTGGCAGCAGGAGCAGCGTGTACTCTCCGGAGAGTAACGTCCGCAAAACTGGATCCTACATATACGAAGAATTCATGCCAACAGATGGAACCGATGTCAAGGTGCGGCCTAATAGCTGTGCACTGCAGGGTTGTTGTCTGTGGATTAGCAGAGTTATTTTGTTTCAAACATTGGCATAAGCAGTTCTTTTTTTTGGACTGTCTTCACGGGTAGAAAATGCGTCTTTGTGCCAACAGAAGACGTGTTGAACAATGGCTTACGGGTTCTTCTGTGCCTCTCGTATTGAATTTCCTCTTCACATTAACCAGCTATTGGATGCATAATCTCTTTCCTGTTGTGCAGATCATTGTATTTGTAAATGAAATGTCCAGTCATGGTTGCAGTTAAATGCGACTGATTAAATACGAGCTGAATGTCACCCACACTTCATGGCTGGATTGTGGCATGAATGCCCACCTTGAATTAAATGGTGTCTAAACTGTTTTGTGTTCCTCGCCTTCGTTTTGCGTGACTTTGTCATACACTTGCCTGCCTCTGGCCTTCGATAATGTTATAGTTTAGTATAGTCAGCGTAGCAATAAAAGCGTCCATTTTGATACAGTAAATATAACCATAGAATTTCAAGTTATATAAGAAATAGCATTGCTTGTATTCATTGTGACTAGCATAGCTAGCAAACACTTTCCTGTATCTTAGCCATCATTTATTTATGTAGTATAACAAAGGCAGGATGAAGTCTTAGCAGGAACAGCAACTGTTGGGATCAGTCAGGATCCCAGAGTGCTGTGCGTCCTGCTGCTGTCTTCATCCATGCTTTGCCATTCAGTGTTTGCATGATGATTTTTGCCCCAACTGTGGCAGGTGTACACAGTGGGCCCAGACTACGCCCACGCGGAGGCCCGTAAGTCCCCGGCCCTGGACGGCAAGGTGGAGCGGGACAGCGAGGGCAAAGAGGTGCGCTACCCGGTCATCCTCAATGCCAGGGAGAAGCTCATCGCCTGGAAGGTCTGCCAAGCCTTTAAGGTAATGCCGGTCCGATGCTCCGCTTCCTCCCTGAGTTCTGTCTGCCTCTCCTACTCGGGGTAAAACTCATCTGTTTGGCAACAAAGAGTCTAAAATCATTTGGCACATATGGTGTTCTAGTTGCACCCATCATATTTTGATGTAATGCCATATGTGAGGATCCCTGGCTCATTTAGATATTTAATTTGTGTAAATAAAGCTTATCAGTGCTTGTGAGTGGCATCACTTAAATTTGATTTAGTTGTGGTGTGTATATTTTACTGGTGGAAGCATGTATTTTGATTTTTAATTTTTTTTTTTTTACTTCTCGTCTTCAGCAAACTGTTTGTGGTTTCGATCTACTCCGAGCCAACGGCCAGTCGTACGTGTGCGACGTCAACGGGTTCAGCTTTGTGAAAAACTCCATGAAATATTATGATGACTGTGCCAAAATCCTGGGGTAAGAATCCATGTGTGTTAAGACCGGGATAAAGAACAGCTTTAGCCCTGGTAAAGCCAGACAGATTTCTGTAAGGGTATGACATCGTGTGGAGTGTGAGCGCTGGCTTTTCACAGGAACATCATCATGAGGGAGCTGGCTCCTCAGTTTCACATTCCCTGGTCCATACCTTTGGAAGCTGAGGATATTCCCATTGTTCCCACCACATCCGGTACCATGTAAGCACCTTTTATTCGTATCTTTGCTTTATCCAGTGCATGTTGCGTGATTTGATTGATAATGTCTGAAAATGGCCTCCTTAGAATGTCTCAAACATTTGTAGAACCTAGACATTTTTTTTGAGAATAGTTATCAGGTTAATATTATAGACTTTTGATGTAAATATTAAAACTGTTTTCTGTACTGTGGGCAGTATGTGGCTTTGCGGGTTAGGACTCTCTGGCCAAGGTCAGAAGGTCATCGGTTCATATCCTGGAGAATTAATATCAGCATTGGGCCCTTGAGGAAGACACTTATTCCTAATTGTTCCAGGGACACTGGCTGACCCTAGTCTCTGATCCTCACATTTGCTAAATAAATACATACGCATGTCCTTTGCTTGGAGCATTTCTAAATTTCAGTTCTCCTGTTGCTCAGGATGGAGTTGCGATGTGTCATTGCTGTCATTCGTCACGGTGACCGAACACCCAAGCAGAAGATGAAGATGGAGGTTCGCCATCAGAGGTATCTGAGATCACCTGAAAGTGTCATTAGAAGTGTTTGTACTGACCATTGGGTTTTTAAATTTACTGCTGACTTATAAATAGGAGTTTATAGTAAGATCTTTAATGCTCCTCCTGTAGGTTTTTTGATCTGTTTGAAAAATGCGATGGGTACAAAACTGGAAAACTGAAACTGAAGAAACCAAAACAGCTTCAGGTAAGTGAGATATTTGAAAGGCTTCCGACTGTATGTGTACTGGGACGTTTTTGAAGCTGGATCCCTGACTGCTCCTGCTGCTTCTACTTGGCGTTTCAGGAAGTTCTCGACATCGCGAGGCAGCTGCTCGCCGAGCTCGGCCAGAACAACGACTCAGAAATCGAAGAAAGCAAAGCGAAGCTGGAGCAGCTGAAAACTGTGCTGGAAATGTAAGCTGGGCCAGTTGTGGCTCCTCCGCGTTTCGGGGTGACCCCCCCCCCCTAACTTCAAGCGACTCTTACAGGTACGGACATTTCTCCGGCATAAACCGTAAGGTGCAGCTAACGTACCTGCCGCACGGGTGCCCGAAAACGTCAAGCGAAGAAGAGGGTAAGACCGCCCAGGCTCGTTTACGGCTAGCGTGGCTCAGACCTCGGTGTTCGCTTTTGGGTAATTGCCAGCTGAGGTTCCAGAGGGCTTTGCATTATAGCTATGGCTTAGAAACAGTAAATCTCATTAGTCTGAAGCAAAACTGACCATGGTGTTGAGGGGGTGGGCCGGGGGGGGCTTAATCCAAATAAACTAAAGCTGAGGGGAGCGGGCAAGGTCAGTCCTGACAACTGCTTGGCTGTCGGCCCTGAACACGGGGATACAGACGGAAATCAGTGACATTGCCAACTCTGCTAGACGGGTGGGATCTGCAGTTTTCTTTGAGATAAGTAATTATATCCCTGTCTCGCTGTCTGTGTCTCGCTGTCTGTGTCTCGCTGTCTGTGTCTCGCTGTCTGTGTCTCGCTGTCTGTCTGTCTCTCTCTCTCTGTCTCTCTGTCCATCTGTTTTTCTCACTCCCACTCTCTCCCCCTCCCTCCATTCTTTCTCTCAATGAATTGCTCTAACTCTTTTGACATTTAGCTAATTTTGGTGAGGACGGCAACCTTCCCATTATCCCTGTAAAACATCTGAACAAAAAGATTTTTCTTTAGCAGTGTATAGTGGGGGTTAGATATTGATTTCCTTTTAGTTTCTTTCTATCTGTCCTTAAATGCATAAATTTCTAGCTGGAATAAAATTTTTGCCCATTCTTTGAGACATTAAATAGCTAAAACTGACTGGTACGTTAGTGGTCAGGGTTAATCTCCACTTTACGGACTGCTTCTGGAGGGAGGTATGAATGTGTCTAGCATGAAAAGGTTAAGATAATGTGAGGTCTATCTTGACCAATTAAGCGAAAGTCATGGTGGGTCCGGGGGTGGCATTTCGTATTCTGGTCCGCGGCGTTTCATCTTGACATGGGGGGGAAGGTCAGCTCCGCTCCACTGTAATAGATGGCTCTGCAGATTCATTATATTGCCTCGTGGTGAAATTTGTCATTCTCAGACAATCTGGATCTCCATAAAAATGCTAATGCTTCACATCTTTAATGGGGGCTCTGTATCGGGGGCTGGGGTGTGTGCGGAATTTTTACGCTTTTTTTGCCTTTGCTTTCGGGCTGAATCCATTTCCTGTCCAGAGTCACCAATTTGCGAACAGATGAGTAATAATGTGTTTTTAATTGTGACTACACACCCACTCCTCGCATAGCGATCAAGTTCTGGTCCAATGACTAGGTTGTTAAGCAAAATGGTCGCAGAGTAGCCTAGGCGTGACTGTTACTGTGCTTACGACTTTACTTCAGTCTTCCATACTCAGTTTCTTTTATCCTTCATGAAGTGGATGTTCTTAAACATTTTATACATTCTACTTGAAAGATCTCTCTCATTCCATTGTGTCGTTGTCAGACGTACAGAATTTGGTCGTAAATATGTGCATTGGTCGGTAAATTATTATAATTTTTTTTATTTGCTGTTTGTATTTGCGAGAGGTCGGTAACCAAGGTAGTCTGTAAACAAGGAGTGGTTGTGTTGTACTCAGCCTCAACGTCATGTCGTTAGAGCACTTCACAGTGGAAATAGTCCAGGTTTCCTCCTTCACCACAAACACTGAAATAATATCGCTCTGATGGATATTCCGGAGGTTGTTCTCCATACCCTGATGACCACCTGTGGCTTGTTCTCGCCTCCCCCCCAGATGTCCGCCGTGATGACCCCTCCCTGCTCCTAGTGCTGAAGTGGGGAGGGGAGCTGACCCCCGCTGGCAGAGTTCAGGCCGAGGAGCTGGGCCGCGCTTTCCGCTGCATGTATCCCGGAGGACAAGGCAGGTCGCCGGCCAATCTGGCTCGGGGGGGCTCACCCCTGTCAGCCTCACATCCCACGTATCGAGATGCTGGTTTACTGTTTGCAAGTTAAACATCGACAGATGAGCAAGCGAACAACACCGGTAGCTTGCATGCACTAGTTTTCTTTACCAGGTGCTTTTATCCAAGGCAATATAGGATTGAGAAGGCAGGGTCAGCCTGTCTCTAGAGCAGCTTGGGTTAAGGGCCTTGCTCAGAGGTGGTGAAATCACGACGCCGACCTGGGGATTTAAACTGACAACCTTCTGATTACAGGCACAGTGTCCTAACCTGCTGAGCCACACACTGGCCCATGCACAGGAGTCAAAGTATTTCACAGTGTTGGATAAGCTACTTCAAAAATGTTGTAAGCTAAGCTACTTAGTTATTCTGCAAAATATATAACTGAGCTACATAAAGGCGGCAAGTTACACTGCAAGCTACGTAGCAACAGAAGTAGCTTAACTAGAACGGTACACAAACGGCATCCTCAACACCTTCATATGAGGCTCAACAAAGGCTGACTGCTTTGTTTTTGGATTATAAAGTAAGTGTTTGAATACGTACGATTTCTATCGAGTTATAGCCATAGTGTCACCATAGCTTCCTCAGACGTGATGAATGGCTATTAATTGAAAATGGCGTTTCTGAGATAGAGCTGGTTTTGGGCAGATGTAGTGATGTGATACTAGTCAGAGCTACCTCGTTACTCCACTGAATCAGCAGCTTAACTAAATAGAAGCTATTTGGTGTTGAAAGTAGCGACGCTATGACCTCACTACTGGAAAATGTAGTTAAATTAATTGCTTCACTATTTGTAGTGATGCTACTGTCCAGCACTGGTATTTCATACCCAAGTTATACACAAGTACGAGACTGACGTTTTCTTGCGTTTATGAGTAATGAGCCATGTGGGGGGAATTTTGAAATTCTGCGTCATTGACCACACCCACTTAGTTGCCTGTGCTGCTGGCCATTCTTATCCGCGGAACCGTTTAGAATTTCGCGTAGTCAGGGTTAGGCTTTGGGTTTCCACGTGCCTGTGGGTGCACGTCTTCTCGAGTTCCCCCTCCGCCTGACTCGGCCTCTCGTCCTTACAGGGGACTACGCCGGGTTCCCTGGGTGTGGCCTGCTCCGTTTGCACAGCACTTACCGCCATGACCTGAAGATTTACGCATCCGACGAGGGCAGGGTGCAGATGACTGCTGCAGCCTTTGCCAAGGTGAGTGTGCCTCTCTTTTGGGCTTCGAGACACTACTTGGGTTGCTGGTGGCATCTAAGGGCACAATTGCAGTTAATTAAATTTATAAACCTCATTTCAGCTGGCTTAGGGGTTGTGTGCGTGGGTCAGCATGTTATGACTCTGCCAGTGATCAGAAGGTCATTGGTTCAAATCTCACGGCCAGCAGATTCATGTCACCCTTGAGCAATGTCCTTAACCCCAAATTGCTCCTGGGCCATTGGCTGACCCTGCTCTGTGACACCTAAAGCTTTGCTGCCACCTGTATCTGTGTGTCTGTGTCCTCATGAGGATAAATATAGTATCACTGTTATATTGTGTGTGTGTGTGTGTGTGTGTGTGTGTGTGTGAGAGCGGGTTTACCTATCCTTATGCGGATATAATGTCCCCATAACGTGATAAATATCTGTTTTTTTTCCCTTATGGGGACCGGTTTCCTGGTCCCCGTAAGGGAAAACTGTATTT